GGATTTCATGTATATTTGCACTGTTTAGTGTAGTGTAATATGAGTTATGTGGACTCAATGTATAAAAAATACCTCAACTTTATTTATATTGTGCCATTGTCTCCTTAGCTGACTGCTTGGCTAGCAAACGTAGGTGGTTGTCATGATTATTGCAAGTGCAGTGCCGTGGAGAAGGAAATCACTCGTTTAAATTCCTTACTGTGTCGCTTAGTGCATTAATTCAGTGTATAGTATTATTATACACATGGATTGTGTCGATTATGAGAACTGAATCTAGTCAGCTCTATTACTATCAATCTACTGCCTGTTATGCCATTCTCACTGGCACTGTAAACTTAATGCTGCAATGTTTTTGATCACCAGTAGTGGTGATGAATTTTTCCTGAATTTTCCATTAACATGAAACAGTACAGATGCAGTGTCGCGATCGAATGTCTAGGTTGCATTATATGTCATTGTTATCCTCATCAACACAACAGGTCTGCGTATCTTACAATATTTTAAGTGTTTCTCTATGCTGCTAACACTGTGCATAGTTGCTTAGAGTTGAAGCATGTTCAGCTTATACTTGATGGCAATAGATTCCTAAATATGAGAATGTAATTTCTGTAGGATTCATAAAACTATGCTCATTAGACATTACTGAGATTATGCATTTAATGTAAACGTATTCAGTGTGAAGTTGATCTGCAACTAAGGTTAATGAGAGTATGACGCCTCAACAGTATGGAAGCTTCAAAGTTTGTCTTGATATTTGCGTGTAATCCTTTAATACTGGAAAACATTTGAGGTCTATTGATGCTTATAGTGCCAATATAAAAACCAGCTGAAAACTACATATACATTTATTTGCATGAGATATTACTTAGTATTAACCGATTCAGTGTGTGCTAATATGTAGAATTATCTTTCATAACTTCATGTTGTGCTAGTCCTTACATGTGCTTTATTTTTTTCAGGTATACGGAAGTTGTCGAATATGAAACCAGCGGAAATATCATCCGGACAAACTAACGTTAATACTCTTCATCGGGATTTTCTTATGTAAATTAATGAAATGTTTAATATACTCTTCAATTCTACTTCCTCTAGACTTTTTCAGTGCGTCGCTATACTATGTGCTTTTGTAATAAGTGAATTCGGATCAATGCATGTTAAGCTTAGTTAGAGGGATGGAGATTTACTATAGTATTATGAGAATGTTACTTTAGCCTTTCGTAAGATTTCGTGTCTGTTTCTATACAGTAGCACATTGTAAAAACTAAGTAAGATTTAGCAATTTAAATAATAATTCTGTACTGTTCGATACGCTAAAATCGCCTTATTTAGCCAGTTGCAATTCTGTACACTGTTAAACGCCAAGTATGAAGTACAAGTAAATTTAATGACTTAGGCTTGACAGCTACTTCACTAATCTGTTAATATGCAGTGACATCGTCAAATAGACTGTTCACTTGACAGTGAGCAAAGAAACAATTTTCATCTATTTCTAATATGCCGTTGAATCATGTGATGTTATCCAATATCCATCATTTCTATAATCAACAACTGCGGTGTTTGCATGTCTACTTTATGAATATTAAATAACTTACTCATTTATGCATCTGATTACCTCCAGTATTACAACAGTATATCCTATTCATTTGATGTGTGTACGGTAAACAAGGCATTCATACATTCTCCCACAAATACCAAGGTTTCTGGTGTCACAAGTGTTAATGAGAGTTGCTTCCTTGGTCTCAATACAAACCTTTTTTCATCTAGTAAATAGACAATCTGCAATTAAAAGTGTTCTCTGAGCTGGTTGGTTTAGTCGCGAAGCTTTCGTCGTCCTTCCGGACAACATCTTCAGCGCCATATTTAGCACAGAGTGAAATGATTTAAATTTCTTCTTCTTCAGAGAACACTTTTAATTGCAAATCATCCACCTGAGCTACAAATCTTCTCTATTATTTCAAAGTAAACAATCTCCTCCATCCATCTTTATATACCTTCAAGTTTTACTTTTATTATTTCCATTATATTTATGGTCCTGTTGATTCTTTGTTTTCACTTTCATAACTGCAAACACCAACTTATCTCTATGACTGCTGTAATCTTTGTTTTTCCCCTCACCATATCATGTAAAGAGAACATCATATTCAATATTTTTATTCATGCAAGGATTTGTATACCGCATCGACAATACTGTGTGAAACAAGCCCACGGCAATTTCCACTTGTATTATTATCATTACCTTAGCTGCTATCATTATTATTATTTCCATTTTATATGCTGCATGTTTTTTATTTTTTTTATATTAACCCTATTGTAAATGTAGAAAAATTTTTTGTGTGATTAATTTTATTTATAATTGAGGAAATTAGATGCAATTTTGTGATTAATGCTGAAATTTCCATTCTGTATCACAAGTACTGTTTTTGGAATAAAGTAAATTATTATTATTATTAAATGACGTTCTAAAATGTCACCAGTCGTTGAACCCTTCTTGTAGTTCCAGATTGTTTGCCTAGCCTTATTCTTCAAAAATGTACAGATATCCTCTCACATATTTAATGAATCTTTTTCCAGAAATGTTGTGCCAGCCGTTTGGAAGGACTTCAAAATTGTACCTGTACCTAAGTCGTCTAATGGAACATGTTTTAAATTTTGACCTATTGCTATTACCTCCCCTTTTGTAAAAGCTATGGAAAAGTTACTGTTACTTAATCTTCAACCTTCACTTAAAGCCTTTAACGAACTCAAATAATTCGCCTGTAAACACAGTAGAAGTAATTTAGATGCAGCTGCAGTCTTGCATCACAACATTTTCTCCATTATAGTCGTCCAGTACCAATTGTATTTTTGTTTGACGAACTTAATGTACATATGCATACGAAATGAAATATGTCAAGTGCGCGGACTAACTATTCCGGTGTCTTTTAATTCGCATCTACACTGTACTAAGATGAACAGCTCTCTATTAGTAGTCAGAAAATGCTTTTAAACTAAATCCTTCCAAATGTCAGACTGTCAATTTCAGTTTCCGATGTAAGAGAAAGTCAGGTGAAGCTGTTAATTCCTATGACCGTTGCAAAATTGATGACAGTGATATAGAGCTCAAGTCTGACTTTAAGTATCTCGGACTAATTCATCAAACAGCGTATTAGCCGTAAATGTATATCACACGCATGCATGAGCTAGGTATGCAAACCAAGGTAAACGCTGATATAAGTATAAAACTTGGGCACTGTGGTAGAGTATAACTCCATTATGGATAAGATTTTATTTTGATAAATCAGACAGTGTTGTACAGTTATATTAACTGATGACGTTTCGAGCGCAAACGCTAGCACGGTACACTCATTATTTAAAAAACTAACTCATATGTGAGAACTACGATTTGACCGGCTTTACAACGTTTAACATATTTAGACATACACTGCTTACTTCTATGACGCATTACCTAAAGCTACCCCCTTGCTACTACCTAAGTGAGCAACTCAACGTTATCTTTGAATTACAAAGTAAAAGCGGACATCCTGAGAGCTTTCTGGGTAAAAAGATCGTCTCCTAGTCGAGAAAATAAACATATCCTAATCTCTTCACGAAAGCGTTTAGAGGTATTTATCCTATCGCCTCAAATGACTCACTATTTGCTGTCATTTAAAAAGTAAAAACAAATTTATCGAAGGCAGTGTGCTTATGGTTTCTAGACATCATAATGCACCATGAGGAAAAAGCTTTATTCATAGGGTTATAGCAATTAGATGCGCGATATAAATCCGAAACTCAACGACTACGATTCTCAATCACAAAACATTCTACTTTGCTACCTAATCGTCTCAATAGATGCTTCGCCAAGAAAAAGAAGACCACTGGTTCAAAGAGAATTTATTTAAAGTTTTCTTATATATCATGGGCAACCGTGTTTATAACCACGGAGAAATCACAAGCATCCGAAAAATAGGAATTTCACTATTTGAACTGAAACAAGCAATTTGTAACCAGCCAATTTTTTCACCCCGATTAATAATCAGCTTCTCAGACGGTTGTAAATTCGAAACGTTATTCTTGCTAGTGAAATTCTTACCGAACACTCACCAGATCATCGTACGTTAGCCGCTTTTCAAATCGTTTTGAAACAAATAAAATGGTTGTTAACACCGCGTTTACTACAGGCAGTCCTAGTTCGTGCGTTTGGATCTAATACACTAGGCATTAACAATCATTTAGGGATTTCCTATTGCTTCCTAATTTTGCTTCCAAAAGTACACACAAACACCACACATTCATACTTCACATGTGGCTCACCCTTGCTTGATTCTCTCACAATATACCTGATATTTTAGCTGACAACAGACACCTTGTCGAAAAGCTCCAAAGCATTTTAAACTTCAAACCAGGTTCTAAATTCTCTGGGTTTAATTAGTTCTTCGAAAACTTTGCTAATATCAACCCTGATGGTGCTCTCTTCACCGGATTCATTCGTAGATTGTTGCATGCTGTAAACATTAACGTGAGAGACTTTTTTTCCAGATTCCTACATATTAAGTAACCAACTGAGCCAGCAGCAATAACGGCAACCAAAAATGAACTGGAAACAATGGCTTCTGCTTCCCAAACATGTTCACGTGTATAATCTCCAAGATTTCTACACAGTACAAATTCTTTAATAGCTGAAAAACAATTAAAACACTGAAACCATGCATGAATGCAACGTATGAAACAATTACAATGAAACGAATGCACTGACCTGGTGGCAAAAACTTTCGAAACAAACGAAATAACTAATTTCAACAGAAATGGAAACAATAATGAAGTGAAATGCAACATTTGTGAACAATGTGCATCAAGATAAGTTGTGAATAACTGCTGGATAAACGGAAAACTCGATGTGTAAACGAACAGCAACGGAACTGCAACCCAACATGGCCGACTAACATGGACGAAAATGACCTTTGAGCGTCTCACTCCATCAATGACCTTGTACATGGCGTTTAATTTCTGCCGTAAAACTGCACCAATCGTCACCACGTTGGCAGCAAAGCGGCGCGAACGCACAAATGACCTTGGCGGGCTAGCAGAACTGGGTAAACGAAGTAGGGGTTTAATCTTGTGTTTCCAGTCGGAAAAATGTGGTAGAAACGGGTTGAATAATGGAAATGACCCAGCTAGCATTTCTTTGGGGCAAAAAACTTTGGGCGCATTGCCGTTCTTGAGTATTCGCCCCGAAGACTGCCCCAAAAAGTCTGCAATGCACCCTAAGTCTGCCCCAAAAATTCTGTAATGCCCCCGAAGTCTGCCCCAAAAAGTCTGCAATGCGCACTAAGTTAAAGTCGGAATCGGAAATGTGCCCTAAGTCTGCCCCAAAAAGTCTACAGTGCGCCCGAAGTCTGCCCCAAAAAGTCTGCAATGCGCCCGAAGTGCCCCAAAAAATCTGCGATGCGCCCTAGGTCTGCCCCAAACAAATTGCTGGCTGGTAACCCAGCTAGCATTTCTTCGGGGCAAAAAACTTTGGGCGCATTGCCGTTCTTGAGTATTCGCCCCGAAGACTGCCCCAAAAAGTCTGCAATGCACCCTAAGTCTGCCCCAAAAAGTCTGCAATGCGCCCGAAGTGCCCCAAAAGATCTGCAATGCGCCCTACGTCTGCCCCCAAAAAATTGCTGGCTGGGAATCTTCATTAAAAGTTTCACCCTACCCCTAATCTAAACCTAACCGAAACCCTACTCTAATCCTACATTAACTTAAACCGTAACTCCAACTCTAAATCAGTGTGTAACTTACAATGAAGATTATGTAAAGCATTGGTTTTTGTAATTTTGGGCGATCTGGTTGTTTGGCCCAAGGTCATTTGGTTCCTATTCTTTACTGTTGCCGACAATTTTTCCCATCTTGACCATTATTTGACCAAAATTTAGTCAATAATTTGCCATTTCGACCTCTACTGAACAGATATTTTGCTATAGTTTAACCACTTTTACCACTGTATAACCACTAATTTCCCATTTTAACTATCATTTAATCAGTATTTTCCCGTTTTGACCACTATTTAACTAGAATTTGGCTATTAGCATACCATTCCTATCATTCGCCCGAATTCTCACCAACTTTAATCATCATTTAACCATTCTTCGACCATTTCTGTCCCACTGGAATAGATTAGAGCTAAGGCTGTGTCATTGATCGATTAGGGTTAGTGTTGTGAGAAAAAATGTACCTCTCAGCGTTATCTGATCGAATCGCAATAGGGGATGAATTCAACTCCATATGTGGGGAAATAATGGATAAGATGGACACGAATTTATGCGAATGATCAGAAAGGTATTATAATGGGTTTATAATGATTAAAAACTGTAAGAAGTGATTGTAAATGAGTCTTTCTAGTGTCATTGCTACGTTCGCGCTTCTCCGGTGCATAAGACCTAACGTTGCCTTTGTTGTTATCAAAATAAACTTACTTTGCCTGGTTCCTAGGCGTCGTATTCTTCCTCTTGTGCTTCAATGTAGCACTGACTGGTTAGCCACTGTGCGCCGTTTCCTGTTTCTCAGGTGAAGCTGCTCCCCGTGATCCAGTCATCCCTCCATTTCACGATGATCCAAGTACTAATGCGTGTAAAATGTTTTAGTGCATTCGAAATCAAGAGCTCACGTAGTAGTAGCCCTGTTGTGCGAAATATATTTTACAGATATAATTTACATGTATGAATGTCTTTTAAATTGCAACCCGGCGTGTTTTTGTTGGTATACTAATTTCAGAGGATGCTCATAGGTAAATTGGGGGAAGTAGGCAGTTTCAATCGGGTCAGATGTAGGCAAAACATGGGTAAAATGCAACACAAAGTACCGACTTTTTCCAGTGCATTTTAGAGAATCGGTTGCTCACTTTCACCCATTCTCTCTACGCTTTTACTAGAGAAATACCTACCTTTTCCATGTTCCTTATCTGAGTAAGAAACTACCTACGTTTTCTAATGTCGCCCATGTCGTTTCCAGAAATACCCAACCTTTCTGCTTTGCCCACATTTTGAACGGAATGTTAACCGCCCAATTCACATATGTTCAGGAAAAAATTCTCTGACCGTATATATTTTTCTAACATGTAACAACAATTTGTTCAGCTGAACTATGTTACTAGTAGCTCATATTGTTTTGGTGGGGTTATTGGGTTATTGAGGAAAACTTCAGGCCACTGGGATTAATATTGAGGAATTCGCGTAAATGTCGGGGTTTGAGGGTGATTTTGAGACATCTTGGATAATTTGGGGAATGTTTTAGGCATCAGAGGAGTCTTTATGACTTTGGGTAAATTGTACTTACCCAAAATCTTTGCATTCAAAAACCCAAATAACTTTGTACAATCAGTTAGAATAGCCACATGATGAGTTACTGAATAAAAGTTATTTGAATCACTCTAACTCTAACCTTAGTAGTAAACTTAATTCCAACAGAACCCGAATCCCTAACCTAACTCTAAGTGAAAAAAATATCAGGATGAATTTGCAAGTATGTTCATGAATAGAGTGAATAGAATAGATGCTAAGAGAAGAATCGGCTTATTAGTTGTATGAGGTCATTTGGTTAATCGTTCTCTAGAGCTATGATCTACCTTTTCATCTGCAATTATATTGTCATATTTCTACAAGTGATTGGGTAAACTTATTTAGCGAAATAGCTTTCACCAGGCTGCATTTCTTTTTAGAATATGTATTTGATGACATTTATGGTGACGGTACGTTTATTTTCGTTTAGGTTGCTAGAACCCTCCGCATTGAAGTTCTCAGAAGATAACTGTTCCCAAACTAATGTTCATACATCTGGTGTGTTGTCTAATATGGAACCTCAACCTGATTCATCTGAATTTACCAATCTGCAAACAAATGATTGTATAGTACTGCCAAGTAGTATGAATTCCGAAAATATTAGCAGTAGATTTTGCGATAGTCCTTCTGAACTTATAGTTCGAAGTCATGAAACTGAAAGTCATGAGATGCCAGCAGAGGTTGTTATGGACACTGGCGTAGTTGAGATTTCTCAGGTTGAACACAAACATTCTAGTTCGGACTTATCCTGCAGTGTTCAGCTGGAAAACTTATCTTCAGCTAGTGTGGTTAAGATGAGCCAAAAACTCGTTCAAATCAATGATGACGCTGAGCTCGAAATTGCATCACCACGACTTATAAATGAAAGTAAACATGCCAGTCCTCCCACTAACTTTCCAACAGATACCGATTTGGAATCTTTACAGTTAAATGCCAAAGTTAATGACACTGTTCAAAGTTTCAAAGTGTCACATGAGAACCATTCAGAAAGTGCCAGTGATTGTGAAGCTAAGAGTTCGGAAAACGATGAAGTTCATCAATCTGATAATTTCTTACTTCACAAACAAATTGAAACGCTGACATGTAAACTTTTGGCTACACAAGAACAAGTTGACCGGCTCTTAGAAGAAAAGCGTTTGTGGATTGGGAATATGTCGAGTTCAAACACTGCCAAGGAACCGAACCACCAGGTAACTTCAGGTGAACTACGTGGAAGGTGGATGCAAGCAAAAAACTTGGCAGAAACATATAAGCGTGAAAAAGAGGCTATGGTTATCAAATATGCACAGGTAAGTGTATTTAGTTAATTACTATAAGTAGTATGGACTAACTTCCACTAATCATTTTTTGTCTTCTATACTATATGTAACGTTGTGAACTGTCTGTTAGGGGTGTACCTGAGAAGTTTGTTAGCATCTTGAAAGCCCTGTACAGAAACACCTCAGGTAGAGTGAGGGCATACAACCAACTATCATCACTGTTCCCAACCAACAGTGGGGTTAGATAGGGTTTCCCGATCTCTCTATTTCTCTTTAACTTTACCATCGATGACATTCTGGAGTCAGCTCTGAAAGATGTGTGCGAAGTTGGTGTAGATCTGCTCCCTGGAGATAGACTTTCCGACCTCAAGTATGCAGACGATATCGTCCTACTGTGCGATAGCATGCAGGCTGCCCAAATCGCACTTAATCAGTTGGCGATCAGTGTCTGTAAGTATGGTATGTGTTTTGCGCTGTCTAAGTGCAAAGTACTGTTACAAGATTGGCAGGAGCATGTACCTGCACTCCCTCTTACAGGTGAACCGCTTGAAGTTGTTGATAAGTCTGTTTATCTGGGTAGTTGTGTGAGTGCTGGCGGAGAGGTGACGGATGAGATTTCCAACCGTATCATGAAGGCTAGGGTGGCATATATCAACTTTAGCCACCTTTACTGCCGTCGCGACGTTAGCCTGGCTGTCTAAGGTCGGGTATACAATGCTTCGGTCCGGGCTGTCTTGCTCTACGCCTGTGAAACCTGGCCTCTTCTAGCTGAGGATGTGCGGCGACTCTGCGTATTCGATCATCGCTGTCTCCGCAGGATTGCTTGCGTTCGATGGTATCATCGCGTGAGTAATTCTGAGGTTCGGCGGCGTGTATTTGAACACAGTGGAGATCACCACTTGTTGAGTGTCGTCATCTGGAAACACCGGCTTCGGTGGCTTGGACATGTGCTGCGAATGTCATCCCAGAGGCTTCCTTACAGGTCTCTGTTCGCTAGCCCTGGGACGGGATGGCAAAGGCGAAGAGGTGGTCAGTCCATGATGTGGTGTCGTGGGATGAAGGATATTTGTGCTAGATTAGCATCGGTTGGTTCGTCATGACTCCCTGGTTGGAGTCCGAGAGATAGCTCACCCATTCCACCCAACATTTGTCCGCCAAGCTTGCTGAGTCAAATGCGAAGATTTAATTCTTTAGAAACATGAATATCCGGAAGTATTCTGGGAGAATCTTAGACGAGGTCGTATACTTCCCAACTCCTGTACATTGTAACAAAACATTCTCAATCACATTGATACCGTCCGATCCACATTATCTTAACTGAAGCAGAATATTTCAAAAAACTCCCACATCCTTTATGAATTATCTTGTGATGAACAAAGACTATTCGAAAACTACGCCGCCACATTTACAGAAAAGAGAACAGATGATGTCATTATGAACCAAACTAAAGTTTAAAATTTATTACCAAGTAAACAGGTTTTCTTTCTTACTCTGAAAATTAAGTGTTTAATTATTCTGATGCTTCATTATCACCAATTCAAACGTAAACCTTAGCACTCGGACCTAAATTCTGTGATGCAACGTCAAGAGTTAACGAGTTGGACACTAAAGTTCAATTCGAGAATCTAATTAGTCAGACAAATTGTCTAGTTCCAGTCTCTTGTGGTGATGAAGACCATTTCAAATCAACTGGTTTGAATTGTTGCCTCGACTACATTAATAAAAACCTAGCTTTCGTAATATGTTGTCCGAAAAACATCGAAATCAGCTGAAAGAATCGAAGAAGAATGAAAATTTGGTCATGACACGACCGGATAAGGGTTCTGGAATTTTTCTACTAAATAAATCGAACTATCTAGGTAACTGACTGACTGACTATCTGACTAGATTCAACGTAGAACTTTGCACAGGTGTGCAACAGTTCGAGTTGCCACACTTCCTCCATATAGCACACAAAGCAAGAGAAGAGAGTAAGGAGAGATTCAAAAGAAAGATAATAGACAGAAATGCGAGATAAAAGGAATGGTAATATCGAGGAACAATAGAGATTTATTGGGTATTATAAATCACAAGGAGTGAATGCATCTGCGCCAGCCACTGAGAACGATTTTGAGTCATATCATCAATTGTCTGCAGCCATTGGTTTTTAACATCCCGAGGACCCCAACCAGTCAGGAAGTCTACACCTCTCTACGTGGTTGGCTTAAACTAATTGTTGTGGATTTCATTGACTGATGAATTCATGTTTTCGTTTGACCACCACTAGCTTTTTTCTAATCTGATCTCCTGTCAGTTAACATTGCCCGTCGAGAAAGATGATGGCTAGGGTAGGCATGCTTAACACATGCCCTAACCATCTCGATCGATTAATTTCCCCTCCTTACCTATCACTCGATGCCAAACCTCAATATTGCTCACCGTGTCGTGCCACCTAACACTAGAGATAGAACGCAGACACCTATGATCAAAGACAGATAGCCAGCCTTTTCATGTCTTCGACTCTCAATGGCTATGTTTCACAGCCAGCCATAAAGGAGGACGGAGCGAATTGCTGAGCAGTACAGTACACAGGCACTTTGGTCGATAGTCAGATATCATGTCTACGCTAAAGACAGCGTAAACTGGCATATGCGAAATGAGCCTTCTGTATCCGTGCTGAGATTTCATCAGCGATCAACTCGTTGAGGCTGATGCAACTTCCCAAATAAGTCAAGTGGTCAACACGTTCTACAACTTCACTCCTGTTTATCTTTAAGCTAGGAGTGAGTCTATGTAGTCCAGTCGTGTAGCATAATCTTATATTTGACGGGAGCGAATCGCTTGCCAAACATTCGAAGATTGCAGCCAAAAGTGTTCAGAAGACTCTACATTTTGTCAGCGTCTTCACCTAGGACAGGACTATATTGTCTGTATGTTCTAAGTTAACGAGATTAGACCTTGGTAACAAGTCAATCTCTTAGTCGCTGAAGTCAATTAGGGTTAAGTCCATTAGTACATCTATGACGAAATTGAACAGAAATGGGGTCAGTGAGCATCCCTGACGAACACCACTGGGTGTCACCACTTCAGATGACAACTCTCCGTAGGCTGTCACCTGGCTGGCTGCATGAGTTCGAGTAGAGTGCCTTGATCAGTGGGATGTATTTTCTCGGCATTCCCTTCACAGCCAAACATTTCCATAGTACCTCTCGACCGACGGAATCGAAAACCGCTTTCAGGTCAAGAAATATGACGATTGTTGGACGCCGGTAAGTATGCTTATTTTCCAGAATCTGTCGAAGGATGAAGATGTGATCGATACACTCTTCCTGGTCTATAGCCTGTCTGGTTCTCTGGTGTTTGTTCCTTCCGAGCACTGCTTAGTTTACGCGTAATTATTGAGCCTAGAACTTTAGACACAATATTGGTCTAGCCAATCCCCTGTGATTATCACAGGAAGACTTTTCTTCCTTCTGATAACATAAATTTCTAAAACAGTCGCTTCAATCCTACTGAAAAAATGGAGCTCAGCTGAAAAAAATATTGAAATTGAAAAGTGAACCACTTGTGAGTACGAAAATATATGAACAGCTTCGTCCATGTGGTTCTACAACGCCATGCATGTACGGCTTACACAAGGTACATAAACAAAACCTTGCACTTCGTCCAATATTAAATATGATAAATTCCTCGTATCAGTTAGTGGCGAAGTGGCTAGTAGAGATTCTCAGACCGGTGAAGGAAAAGCTGTCGAGATACAGCCTCTGGGACACACTTGGCTTTTTGATTTAAATTAAGAATGTCAATCTTGCAGATAAAAGAATGATCTCCTTATATGTCGTCTCTCTTTCTTCACTAATGTTCCACTGACAGAAACTGTATTTTCTTCGTAACTTCACTTAGTCCATTTGCATCACTGTCGGTATATCGATTCATTATCTAAAGGAGCTGTTACTCCGATGCACTTCCAACGTTTACTTTAGGTATTGGTTTGTAGGGATTTGGTTGATTGGTTACAGGATTTCATCATGAGCTGACATTGGTTAGAGAACCATTGGAAAACCTGGGAGTACTGGACAGCTGTTTCGTCCTAGTTTGGGACTTCAGTGTTCCCCTAAATCACTGTACAGATTTAAATAGAAGTTATGAAAAAGGAGTCTATTCACTGAGTTATGCATTCTTAATTCATATACTTTACCTTCATTATTTAACAGAGTGAACAAAAGCGATTCCAATTAGAACAACAAATTCATAGTCTTGAATGCAAAATAAGCCGTTTGGTCAATACAAATAACCTGGAACAGCTACAACAGAAAACTAATGAAAGTGAAGAAAACAACATCACTGATAAGTCTTCACCGAAGAAACAAGCTCATAAAACAACAGCGAATAGTTCATTCACAGAAAAGACTAATTCATCAAATGAAAAATCTAGTATGGAACATATTCAAAAGGTTTGTGTTTCCGTTATATTTCCTATTCCATTGTTATTATTATTATTGTTATTGCTGTTCCCTTGGGTTCCAAGTGGAACATACGGCTTCAACAGCACATCTCCTCCCTGTCCTATTTTCTGCGGTCCCCTTTAGCAGATCCCACGATTGCCCATAGTCTCTGAGCTCCTCCTGACTCCATTTCTTCTATCTCACCGTTGGATGCCCCATTGGTCATTTCCCATTCGGGTTATCAGTTATCATGTTGTGTTTTATTATAAAATCAACAGTGAGGATATATTAAAGATACATTTTTATTGACTTCATTAAAACTTAGGGAACTTCAAAGATATCAACCATTGGATCAATTAATTCAGAACGTAGGGATTCTTGGTTCTCACACTTTGAGATAGCATAAACAAATGTTGCCATTATTTCGCATAGCGTGGCCCCCACTGGTATGCTAAGTAAATTTTGTTCTTACAGACAGAGAAAATGAATTACTGTCTTATTAAAACTACGAAATGACGACTACCTCAGAATTTATTTATGTAAAGAGTTTAAAGTATTTTTTTATTGCTCTTTATATAATGATCTCGATCAAAAAGTAAAAAGTTTAAGTTTGTATATCATTTTGTTGCATGACTGAATTTAAAGATTTTCAATGTTTAAAAAAAATGCTATCTAACTGTTATAGACAATTAAAATTACTGTTCATTTACTTGAACTTTCGAATCAGTCAGGTGGTGATAGGTACACATTTTCTGTTCTGGGCATTCAGATAAATACTACAGTTGCTATTCAAATGAAGAGTATTTAATCCATCTCCGCATATTATTTATTTTTATTTTTGTTACTTTTTGTAATGATTACTGATAGTGTAACGGTAAAAGAGGATAGACTTGGTAAAGGCATGTCTAATTGCAATTTGGTATCGTTATATAGCGAAATTATATACACCTTTAAGTGTTGGTTTGTAGGGATTTGCTTGATTGGTTACAGGATTTCATCATGAGCTGACATTGGTTAGAAAACCATTGGAAAACCTGGGAGTTATATATGCACCTTATTTTCAAATCGCCATTTTCACAGATCTTTCGTGTTGTGCTACTTCTTGCATTCCTTCATATTGTGTTTCTATGTGTTCCTTTCACGTCTTCCATGTATTTCCGCCACGTCGTATCATTTGCTTTCTCTGACATCAAATCTATCTCCCTGCTATTTGATGTCTTTTACCCCGATGCACGTCTCTTTATATGCTACTGATAAGGTTTACCAGTAGTACACGCCACAATACGAGTCAATAGGATCGTGTTAAATCAAAATCTGATACGTGAATAAAGTCGAAGTAATACAGTAGTATGCACTGCAAGCATAGAATACTGTTGTCGATGTATCATTGTGAGCCAAGTGAACAGCATTTTAAAAATGATTAAGTGGATCGTAATAGAAATGAATGACATTGTGTGAGATGAAAGTGGTCGTTTTGCTGAACAGGCGAAGATTAAGACACAACATGTAACGTTCTCGATTCAAGTTACAGAGAGTAAATGAATTCGCGCCATTTAGAACCATTTTTTGGTTACAGGATTTCATCATGAGCTGACACATCAAACAAATCTGTACAAACCAATACTTGAATATCAATGAGATGCCCACTGGCGACTGGCCAGTAGGTAGTTACCTGGGGTTCCAGTGGGAAGTCGTGACCAGTAGGGTGCAGCAGGTCGGGTGTGAGGACAAATACTCGCCGAAGACATTGGCTAGCGGTTGCGCTATATCGTGAATTGGCAGAAGTTAGAATTCATGGGCCATTGGATCGGGTCCCAGTGGCTTAATGGTATAGGAGCTCTCCTTGTAACCAGAAGGTCCTGGGTTCGAATCCCGGTGGGTGCGTACCGATGAAGAGCCCTGATATAGGATGAGACAGCTGTCCAGTACTCCCAGGTTTTCCAATGGTTCTCTAACTAATGTCAGCTCATGATGTTATCCTGTAACCAATCAAACAAATCCCTATAAAACAAATACTTGAATTGAACGATTTTGACGAATGTCACCAGCAGTTTTGTGCCATTGATTCTTGGCATCTTTAAGACTCTAACCAAGCGGTATACACTCAAATTATTCATTACTGGCTGCTCACCTCGCAGACTTTTGCAAATAGTATGGCAAACATATTCAATCAGTATTGTTTTATTTTACGAAAACCGGTTGTCGTATCATAACCACCATCTTGTTTTACCCTGTTCATATCCTACACATAATGCTCCCAATCTGACTCATTGTTCAAACACCAATCCATTTATTTTGTCTTGGTCTTTATTCACGCATAAACTGTTACCTTAATTTTAGTATAGCACTTATATCTGCAAACAGTAACTCTATAAATCCTTTTGTTTGAGTAACTTCATTTTTTAGTTGATTTCTACTTTAATAATAATAATGATAATGATAATTTGCTTTATTCCAGAAACTACTAGTGGTACTGTGGAATTTTCAGCACATATCTACAATATTTGCATCTAATTTTATCAAACATTAACTGATGGCGTTTCGAGCACAAATTATTGCTCGAAACGTCATCAGTTAGTATTACTGTGTAACACTGTGTGATTTATCAAAAATAAAATCTTATCCATAATGGAGTTACACTCTACCACAGTGCCCAATTTTTATACTTATATTTAAAAGGAGTATTTCAAAAAATAAATATAAAGACAACAACAACAAAAACAAAAGACACAAAAATAATAAAAAGCGAAAAAATACCAAGAAGTAGAAGGGAAAATAAATAACATAAAATAATATCTCAGTATTGGGTAGTGGAAGCTATGATATGATTATGCATGGTGACAGTAAAGCTATAGTCATAAAAGAAGTTATGAAATGATACTTAAGAATGTTTATCACCAAGATGATCAGTTAATTTGATTGAACAACACTAAACAATCATAAAATAACATTTCAGGGTATTTTATTGTCAGGTCTAATGTGGTGTTTGTGGTGGTAGTGTGAGTAATCCTGCATAATACAAAATTTTAAGATGGTGATAATAGCATTCACAACCAAGATTGTCAGTTAATATTGCCGAACAAAGAAAAAAACCACAAAACTAATAATTACATGATGTTTAATGACAGGACAAATTTTTTAAGACCCATAGCGCTAATATGGTCGGAACCAGTAGATACACAGAAGAAGGAATAAAGTACAAAAAACCAATGTTAATAATTTAGGTAGCTAAGTATGTTTAAGAAGGCGTTCATTATTGAATAAAAATAAGAGAGAAATAAAAGAGCCAAAATTATGTTATAAACAACAAAGCAAGTCATATGTTCCACGCTTAACATTGTCTCTGTCACTTAGAACACGGGCCAAGTATGGTATCGTTGAGTTCCTATACTTGGTTGTACGAGCATAAATTATTTTATACTGATTTCTGGTTCTACCTGATGAGACACAAGGCGAGAGTTGGGAATAGAGGGGGTGTTGGGGGTCGGACAGCATGGTTTTAGACCATTTTCCGCATGTATTCAGATGCTTTTCAACTAATGTAGTGACGAGCTGACTGAGTTTTACACCACTAGTCCTACTAACTACCTTCAACATCCTTCCCACGATGGCATAGTCCTTTTTCAGTAGCCCAGGAAAGACTAACGGGGAGCAGTAAAGTAGAATAGGTAAGATATGAGAGTTGATAAATTGTGAAAGTAGAGGTTGGGTGATTCCAGAAAGTCTAAGTTTCTTAATGTAGTAGATTAGACGGAAAACTTTCTTAGAAATCGTTAGGACATGAGATGTCCAAGTAAGGTCGGAAGACAGAACTAGACCGAGGTATTTTGCATTAGACTTAGTTTCAATTTTAGTCCCCTCAAGGCAACAGGCTTCATGAGTACTTACTAGTGTTTGTAGATCTCGTTTATGCCTAAAGGAAAAGTCACTAGTCTGGCATTTTGAGGGATTCAGCATGAGGCCGATTGATACTTTTCTGAGGAATCACCAATATACCGTACGAATAAATGTTTCTGAACAATATTGAATTGTCCGAAATGTACAACTGGTGTACAAAAAAGGTTATTAATCCTGTCTATTAGTTAACAAATTGAATGTATTATGTTCTTCTAGTACTTACTGTATTGTAGATGATATAATTTATGTTCGTTTTACTTAGAGTAATATCCAATCTCTTTTTCTGTCTTAGGAACTTGCTACCGCTCGAGAACGAATAGATGCTTTACTAAAAAGACAATCAACGGATGAATCACGTATTACTACACTGACAACAAAATTATCTCAAGCACAAGAATCGCTTAAAAGTGAACAAAAGAAATCTTCATCTTTGAATGATAATTTAAATCGTGTTAATAAATCTCTAGAAAATGCACTTAAACAAGCAAAGGTTAGATTTTCTCTAAACTAATCTTTATTTTTTATTGATTTCTATTTCTAACTTATAAGCGTTTATAAAAACTGTACTGAACCCCAAACTACATTCTTATATCATTTATTAAAACAGTGTAAAGGATGAATATTCATTTCAATGAATTCTCCTCATATGTAAAGACGTGGCTCGTTGGCTGAGGCATTTGACTTTCAGTTGGTAGGTCTCTAGTTGGAATTCCACTCTACTCACTTCTGTCTGGACTACTAGGTGGTAATATCATCAGCCCTCGCACAAAAAGTTTGGTTCATAGTGTCGGTGCGTCGGTGGCACAGCGGTAGAATGCTCGCCAACTACGCATGTGGTTCGGGGTTCGATTCCCGACCGACACACTCCTTTACCTCTCTAGGCCAGTAATAAGACTGGTAAAGAGGGAAGGTTGGGCATGAGGCTAGCAACCCCATTCCTTAAAAATAAACACCACTGCTACCGAAACTTGAAGCCTCTAGCTTGAAGCCCTATGTTTCACTGGGAACGTGAAGGAATAAAATAATTAAAAAAATAATAACATAGAAAAAAAAGACGTGTGCCAGATACCTGAGTTCAAACTTCTCAGATTTTCACCAATAAAAACAACAGATTTCTAGTCAATAATAATGATGACCTGTTGTAGGACGAATAATATTCCTCAAATGAAGCTCGGAGTAATTATGGTGATGTGTTTTCAAAAAGAAGTAATTCTAGCTCAGTTTTAAGAAGACTTGTAACTGGTTACAAGAGATGAATACAAACTGTTCCAGGAACACTTGAAGAGGTTCAGAATCAGGGTTTAGCTATGTAGACAGGAAATAAAACTATATCATCTATGTACTTATGTATGTTGATGATTCCCTTCGTCAATAAACCATTCTAATTTTACGGATTGGTTGTTTGTAAATACTTAACCGAATGGATACCTTAATGACACATCGAATTTTCTGCACGTCGTACCATTGAAAAGAGGTCGAATACTTTCTGTGCATTTTGGCAATAATTTCATAAAATTCATAATATAATAAATCCCACTGTTTAACCTCCATTCATCGTACTATCCACTGGCAGATCTTACTACCCACAGTGGTTAGGACTCTCGCCGACCATGCACATGGTCCGGGGTTCGATCCCCTTCCGGCGCACACCCGATATCTATGGTCGGCCTGAAATTTGGGCTACCGATATCCATGCTGAAAATTCCATACTTGTACTGAAAATACGGTGTGGAATCAAGCTGTAATCAAAATAAAAAATAAAAATAATCTTATTTAACTCAACACCACCCTTGTGTTGGTATGTGACATGTTCTAACTACCTTAGTTGATATAGTCGAAAGCGTTACCGATTGGTTTACACATCTTACTTTACCAAGTTTTCAGGTTTATCATTTACCTTACGCTCATTACTGGTTAAGGATAAAATAGAACAAGAAAACCAGCAAAATTGTGTATACCAGATCAATTGTGGGGATTGTAACGCCGTATATGTAGGAGAAACTTCCAGACAGGTAAATGTAAGAGTGAAAGAACATAAACAATGTCTAAAGGTGGTTCCAAAGACCTCTACAGACTTGAAGAAGCTAGAAAACAACTCAGCGATTGCACTACATTCGATAGAAACGGGACACAAAATCGACTTTGATAAGACTAAGGTTTTACAGAAAGGTTTTGGTTCATATAAAGAAAGACTGACTGCAGAAGCCCTACATATATGGGTGAATCCCAACAGTTTGAACAGACGTGAAGGTGTGATTTTAGCTGATGCATGGCAAATCCTGACTAATAAATAAATTCGATATGTAACAACTAGTCACACTTGATCAAATTCCCGATTGTCTACGTCTTCTTATGGAGAGGATAACAAATTTATAAAATTATATTATATGTGTATAAAATCTCAATTATTTTGTAACCATCCGGTCAAATCTTGATCACAGCTCCTATGAGAATAACAAATGTTTTATGACTGTTCACCCACACACATACACACACCATTGATACTGCATAAACACATATATTTTAACAAAAGTAGACTAATTTTGAAAGTCTGAGGTCAAATTTTGATCACAGTTCATATAAAAATTTTGTTTTGTTTTGTTCATTATACCTATTGATAGCTGTTTCTTGATTCATATGACAGGACAAACAATTTAAAACAAGAGATATACCTTTATATATAAACATACAATTTTATTTATTTATTTATTTATTATACATGTTGATGCCTGTTGCATGGCTCAAGATTGGACAAGGTTTAAAACAAGAGTTGTTCCTTTTATAAATAAACCTCTGTTATGTTAATTTTGATTAATTTCCCTGAAGAAGTTCGGACCAGATTGCCGAAAGAAACGTTGGAATTAATCATTTCAATTTCGCTGAGATTTTACAAATATAATTTTATAAATGTTTATCATTATTGTTATTATTAATACCAATATTATCACTTTCATACGTTTAATTTACCCACTTCCCGTTTAATATTGAGGTATGTAGCAACTGAAATGGATACCGTATTGAACTAAGATTTTTACTGAGTCCGTTTATCTTTATTTTAGTTAGTTAGAATAAGATTTATGAATCAGTTTTGAGACAGTTTCTTTTTTCTTCCTACGTTTTTTTTCTTTCACATTCGTAGGAAGCTGAACGTCTGCGTGAGCGTGAAGCAGAACGTCTGTGCTCAGAAGTGGCACTTCAAGAAGCTCAAGCTACCATAAAACAAGTTCAGGGTGAAAATGATTCTTTAAAACAACAACTAAAGGATCTAGAAAACGTAAAGTGTGATTATGAGAAATCTCAATCTCGTATACAGGAGTAAGTCAGTGCGATTTCTTACAATCTAAAAGTATATATATAGTGTCATTCAGTGATGTTACTTTGAAGACAATATTGTATAACTGTCTGTCTGTATTCGACATAGAACTTTGCACCAATGTGTGGCAGTTCAAGTCGCCACACTCCATATAGCACACAAAGCAAGAGAAGAAAGTAGAAGAAATGCATAATATAGGCAGTAAACAGAGGTGAGAGACAAAGGATATCTGCTACCTTGACGTGGTGGTCGGGCTTGCACATCGTGATGACCTAACAGGGTACACTGGCTGGAACCAATGTTCCTGCAGGTCCTACCATGCCAGGAAGGTTGTTGGGAGAGCGATTAGACTAAAAGCAGTTACTGGCATTGTGTAAGAATCTTTCCTACACTATGCTGGGGGTCTGAGGGCGAAGTCGTACTGCTGGGGAACAGGGGTGTAACAGCAGTGAGGTGTTTCCCTCAGATGACCAACATGCCAGCTATGCTGTCTCTCCACTCCGGAGAGAGGGGGTTAGAAAATGTCGACCCCAAAAATTGTACATCCCGACTTACCCTACGGTGGTCCGTAACCAGCGGTAAGTTTACTAATACGGAACCAATCCCAGAAACCAGCTCATACAGGCCGTGTGTGACCGGCCTCAAGCAGTTGTCCCCTGGGCTCTACGGTCACGCAACACTAACCCTCTTTCTCTTTCAGTTACCCGAAGAATCAATCAACTCCCACGGTGTGGGCAGCCGGGAAGTAACAACCGCCCACACACTTCCAATATTGAATAACATTATAAGCAGATAGAAAATCGTCCTTATAGAATTTCACTAGAACATTCAGCGTTCATTCTTATTCAGCTATATGGTTGATATGCTTATTCTAGCCTAACTCTAGGTGGCTGAACCTCCTTGTAGAAGATTCCTTGGATATGACTTGTAGCAAGCAAACGACTTAGTTCTGTTGAATGAAGAAACTGACAAGATTCGATCATGAAAACACTTGAATTGATAATCTGTGAATTTCTGTTATTTGTTTTTTCATATTAAAATGTAAATGACTCTTTCACAGTTGGTTTGTATTGATAACTCGTCTGATTATTGGGAATAAAGTGGTTTGTTAGGTTAATTACTTGTCTCTCGGCATGTATAGTCGGCTGTAGTAGATTTTTAACTTCCAAAATATTGACACTAATACACAAATGTCTTGTTCAACGTTCTCCAGACTGTATCACTTAGTTTGGGATTCTTGAGCAGTACTCATCCACTACAGTTTGAATTCAGGACCTTCCGAGTCACTAGGCGAGCTCGTAGATTATTCAGCCACGGGGACCCATGAATTCCTCTGCCAATTCGTGATGTGTAACTCAACCACTAGCCAATATCATCTGCGCGTGACTCTTATCCTACCTGACTTGGTAGACCCCATTGGTCACTGGTGTGGTATCACTAGAACTTCAGGTAACTTCCTGTATAGAGCCAGTCGCTAGTGAGCATCAGATCAATTCTCAAGTGTTATTATGCAAGGATTTGAGTGGTTGCCATGATCAAACGGGAAACACTAATGCTCTCAAAAACAATCATTTTCCAACTTTTATGGATACATAACTTTAGAACGTGATGAAGAAGTTATCATCATATATGATCATCGACTGAATAAGTGTTTTCAGTTCATCAGTCACTATTAAGAAATCCAACTGTGGTGAGTGCTACTTATAATCCGATATAAGTAGTATATCAGAAAGCGAATTCAGAAAAGTAACAATATGTTTTGCACACTGGAAAGAGCAATCAAAGAAGAGAACCATGAGGAGAATGTTGCCATATGATGCAGAATCCAAGAAGCTATCGAATGTGATGGTATTCGACCAGTTCGTCAAGGATGTGATAAATGATGTGCAAATGGCGGTTTGAAAATATGGTATACCAAATTTACTTATGTACAATACGTTTCACCAAAAAAACATTTCTTTCAGCCTCCTCGGTCTTTTCTTCTTTACACAACTACTTCCCATCGCCATGAGTAATCAGAGGTCAGTTTACGATTATTATTATTCATTCCGCGCGTCCCGACGGTATCATAGAACTTCAGCAGCACATCTCCATTGTACTCGATACTCTGCTATCACTTCCGACTAGCTCCACCACTAACCACATCCTTTTATTATTTCCTCACGTGATCTTCATGTCATCCCAGGACCAACATCTGGCCCGTCGCTTTTTCTTCAGCCTCAACTTGAGGCCATCAGAACACAATAAGTGTTGTTAATTATAATGTGAAAATAAACCTACTACCACATATGCGTAGCGTTTATTTCACCTTCGTTTTAAAGCAAAAAATCAGTGAAATTACAGTCTAAGCTGAATTTCCTTTATGACTGACTCAATAAAGTTTTGTATTTAAGAATTGAGATTGATTCACTGAATATTTATTTGTCACAGCTGCCTAACGCACAATTTTCTCTGTTGTTATCAACTCATGTTCTTACCTTTTTTAAAGAAAAGAAAGTCACATTTAACAATTTTGGTATAAATTTCAAACAATTCATTGTATTTATTGTAGACTTACAAATGAATTATCATCTTCAAGTGATATGAAATTAGAACTACAGTCATGTAAACATCGTATAGATGAACTGTCAGATTTTACACGTCGTTTAACTGAACGTAATACTAATTTACAGGCAGAGCATTTAGTTACTCTCAGTTCACTAGAAGAAATTAAACATCAGTTAGCTGAAAAAGATGAAGAAATTATCCAGTTGAATGAAAAGTATGAAAGTGAACGTAATCAATTACAAGTGAAAATCAGTACATTACAGAGTGAATTCGACGATTTATATGTAAAGGTATGTGTATACCATATTTTTGAGTTATTTATATGAAGTTATAAGCAAAACGTTGTGACAGAATACTGTTTTATCTTTTTTACTTGTTGTCTAAACTACTTGTTACTCGTACATGAAATAATGTTCATGCGTGTAGTTCTCCTTAGTTTAGTTCTAACTCTAAAGTGGTACCTGGCTGTTTTTGGTCGTAGGTGGCTGCATCCTTTCTCCCGTAGTAGGTGGTATAATATGGTGAGCAACATTGATGTAAGGAGTAGAGTGTTAGGTAAGAGGGGAAAGTCAATCGGCGGAGTTGTGAAGGTGAATTGATTGTTAGGTGGCTAGGATACATGTTGCGCATGGCGAGCCATCACCTTTCTCGACGGACAGTGTTGTCCGTCATAGGATCACGTTATGAATAAGTTAAAGGTGGTCAGACCGAAACCTGGCATTAGTTCATGAGGTCTTTGACAGTTTTCTTAAGCCATATAGGGAGGTGTGGGCTTCCTGGTTAGCGTCCTCGCAATGCTGAGATACGATGGTTGGAGACAATTGCTGATATGGCTCAAAATTTTCCTTAGTGCCTCAGATGCATTCACTCTATGTTATCTCCATATCCAGTAAGCCCTAATTTTTTTCCATGTCACTATTGTTTCTCCAGTCCACTTCTGCTTATTTCAGTACTTTGAAATCCCCGTATTCTCTCTCTTGTCTACCTTTTTCTGCTACATGGAATGTGGCAACTTGGGGTGCTGCATTTCCGTGCAGAGTTATATGTTGAAACTCATTCAATCAGTGGTAAGGATTGAAAAGTTAGATTCTCAATCGCGGAAGCTAATTTTCTATTGATTATATATAATTCCATACGAAATTTGTTTATTGGATATATCACATAGTGGAGTAGTATTATATGCTGGATGACATTTTAAACACAATTTATTGCTCATAATTATATATATTTGATGAACATACTGAAATGAAATTACTACTCACCTCCCTATCCGATGTGTCGTAAACTTTTCGGTCATTTTGATCAGTTACTAATAAGTAGTTAAAATTGTTTCAACGCAAATGAAATTGACTTTTTGAAATTGCTTAACTGAACGATGTAAAATTAACTATCGTAGGTAGACTACATTTCCTGTCATTTAAGCTAATTTTTATCAGTTTTGGACTGTAATATAAGGATGATAGGTGTGCACTTGTTGCTCACTCTCGATTACTACCTTCATTTTTGTATTCATCGAACTATCTGAACTTCAAAATCGTTTATCTCTTCACCTATTAAAGTTTTACAGGCAAAGACATGAAGTAATCTTTATCATTGATATGTCTTGACAGATATATTCTCATAACACCTATTCGGTGAAACCCTACTAAGTTAAGCTGAAGTTAAGTGTCTGTCATCAGTAGAAATGTTTTAGAGATGAATTACCTTTGAAATCCTGAGCATTTATTATTTCCTTATGTTCCGGGTGCTTCATCAGCATATCTCCAATTTATCCTGTCCATTGTAGTCCTCTTAAGCTGCTCCCATGATTTCCCATAAGCTCCCAAACGACCTCCTCCATGTTGTCCCCGGACCATCAGCCAACTCGTCGTCTACCATCGGCATCCTACTCGAGGTTGTGCCTGGCGCGCGATGTCATTTAACGGTTATCTCAGTCTGTGTCTTGTCCATCCTCATTTTTTCCTCAGCATATTTGTCGGGTTTGAGGTTCTTGTTTGGTTTGTTGTCTGGGTTCCTTGGTCTTAATCCTTTCTGGAGGGCCATCCGATCTTTAGTATGAAGCGAAGATAACTGTTGAGCAGAGGGATTCCCAAATTTTTTGCATATATAACTAATGAGATAATAACTCTGATGGAATTTCGAGAGCAGGCTTATAAAACTAAGTTTGTAATGATAAGTAATTATTGAAAGTTTACACTTCTACGGTGACTTGATACCAGTAGTCTACCGGTTTTATCAGAAATTCTTCGTGACATTTTACATAATTTAGCGTATGAGCCCCTCATATGATAGTCTTATCGTTTTATAGCTTTCATATTATGTTTAGTGTCTCGTAAATCCTTTCCGCATATTTCAATTTAAAAACAGGGAAACTGAAATACTGGGGCTTATTATGTCCATTCATATTGTTTTTATAGTATAAGCCATCTACTTTTTGTACTATGAGTTCCCTCATTCAACAGCACTCAGTTCACCCCACAGACCATATTTCAATGTCACATCTTCAGAAAATCCCTTGTTGAGACACATAGTCATCAGTAAGCAAGGAAAAGTCTTATGGTAATTAGATTTTGCTGAACACATTGATCATATAGTAATTTCGTTTAAGTACTGACACTAGCTGGGAAGTATCGGAGGATTAGAGAGCACTGAACAATTACTACTTTTGTACTTCTAAGCAAGTTGGTCATGCTGTTTGAGGCCTGCAACTATCTATTCGTCAGTAACTCTGATAGGACTAGTTGCTGTAACTCGTTTCATCTCACCGTCGTACTTCGATAAGGACGGAAAATCACCCTTAAATGACTTGTAAATCAGTAGAGGTTAGCTATCCTGCTGGTTGATTTGCTTTCTCTACATAGAAGTCTACACTAAGCTTTTCTTTATACCATACTCTAACCATATGAAAATTTTGATAAAGAAATAAAACCAGCTTTTTTTTTCTGATTATAGCTTGATTCCACACCGTATTTTTGGTACATGTACGGAATTTTCAGCATGTCATATCAGGTAGCCCAAATTTTGCAGACCGACCATTCATATCAGGTGTGCGTCAGCAGGGGATCGAACCCCAGACCATGTGCATGATCGGCGAGAGTTCTAACCACTGTGCCACTGACACATTATAAAATGATATTATTCTATTTCATAGGTTCTCGTCGGCGTCAAACTAACTGAAATTCCAATGGTTATCAATAATGACAATAACATATTTCAATGTTTGAATAGTAGTAAAGAAAACATTATAAAATCAATGCATCCGAAATATAAGCATTACAATTTTTAGTTTAAGTTACCATCAATGTATGTGCTTTTCAAAGCAGAAAATGACAGAAGAGGAGAAGTCAGAAAACAGAAAGATCTAATAAATAGTGTTAGCTTGTAGGTTCATGTAGCAACTCAAGAAGGTTATAGTTCATAAAAATGGAAACTTGCTCAGTGATCTGAAATCACTAGTATGAATGACTAATCAGTGTGATCAAAATGCAGTTATCAAAGGAGTGAGAGATTGATTACACTCTGTCTCTGTAGTATGCGTAATTTAGGTTTGAAACGCTTGATAGTAATTGCTTCGACAAATCGTAGTAAATTCGCTGTCCTTTGTAAGTAAAGTATTTTGAAGAATTTAGAAATCTTGACGACATGACCCATATCCACAAGGTGTCTGGTAATTGCACTTTGTAAATATTTGCTTCCTTTTTGGGCATAAGTTTTTTGGGATATGTTCAGGAAACCGGATAGAAACCTCTCTTTCTGTCCTTCCAATGTACTTGCTCCCTCAAGTGCACGTAGATTTATAAACACAGTTGGAAGTGACATCAACAGGGTACTTATCCAGTGTGGATTGGCTTATAAAGCATGTGGTGCTGTATGGCGTTACGAGCTCAGCTGCAAGGGAGCATCTTTTTACTGCTGCTTTCATTCTCTTATCGATCTTTTGTGATACTACTTTTCCTCTGAATGGGAAACAAATGAACACTTTCTTCTTTTTAACAGTTGGGTGTTTAGTTTTCTTGTCCTTTTCTTTGCTATACTTTTGAATAAATCCCTTTGAATACCCATTTTCCTTTTTGGTTTTTCAACAAAGCTTAATTCTTCTTCCACCTTGTTAAACAAACATAACTTCCTAGCTCTGTCGTACAGTGTCCTTACTCATCCACGCTTATAGCTCATAGAACAGAAGCTGTTGTAGTGAAGATATTGCCCCGGTCCAGGTTTCTTTTCTGTATGTAGATGGATTATTGCATATATAATAAAAATAATGTTCAACTGTACAACCATTTGATACTCAAATATCTCACTCAATATTACGCACTCATTGCCTTGAGTCTCTTGCTTGAAGTCTTCAGCTGTCATACAATAGGCGTGGCCTAATGTTTACTACATTTATATATGTATAAGATTGTACATTTAAATAACATTATATTGTATTACATCAACTGAAATCATTGTATCTTGTTGACGTATGAAAGATTCAGTTATTATTTTTTTTAACAAGGAGTTGTTATTCTTATCTTGCATAATATGTGTACCTCCCCTTTTTAAAAAGAATTCTGTTTATATTTCTTTTATAGTTAAATCAACTCAATGACTCTGAGAATCTTCTCAGAATTCAACTGAAAGAAGAGAAACAACGTGCTACTGCAATGCATAAACGTGATGCTGCTCGAATTAAAGATATAGCCAGAGAAGTTACACGTTGTTTATCATCGCATCAATATAGTAGTAGTAGTAGTAGTAAGATGAATGCAGCAGATTGTTGTCAGAGTATAATTAGTTCAAATTCTATAGATGTTGTCGTGAATCATGATATAAATTCTGATCCGAAATCATGTAGAAAAAATTCACTCAATGGTTCATTGAAATCTTTAGATTTAAGTCAATTACCTACAGAGGTAAGTTTCCCGCCTCCTCCATCATTCCTGTCGGTTGTATATTTTTTTTTGTGAGATTCTCTTGTGTACAGTTTTACCCTACTGCTAAATATTTCTCCGAGGAAATTTCTAATTAGGAATCGCATATTGATTAAACAGGAGGATTTAAACCTGATGGAATGACTCCAGAGGTATTTAAGTACGGTGGAGATAGTTCACTGTCTGCATTAAATGAGGTTCGTACTCATACAGCCAGGTGAGGGCTTACGGCGAGTTGTCATCTGAAGTGGTGACGACTAGTGGCGTCCGTCAAGGATGCCCATTATCCTCATTTCTATTCAACTTCATTGTAGATGTACTAATGGACTTAACCCTAACTCACTTCAGAGACTCAGGGATTGACTTGCTACCAGGGACTAATCTCGTTGTCTTAGAATATGCAGACGATATAGTCCTTCTAGACGAGGACGCTGACAAAATGCAGAGTCTTCTGAATACCTTGAGCTGCAATCTGCGAATGTTTGGCATGCGATTCGCTCCCGCCAAATGTAAGATGATGTTACAGGACTGAACTACACTGACTCCTAGATTAGAAATAGGAAGTGAAGTGGTAGAGCACGTTGACCGCTTCACTTACTTGGGAAGTACCATCAGCCCCAACGGGTTGATCTCTGACGAAATCTCAACACGAATACAGTGGGCTAGTTTTGCATATGCCAGTTTACGCCGTCTCTGGCGTAGACATGATATCCGACTATCGACCAAAGGGAGTGTGTACTGCTCAGCAGTCCGCTCCGTCCTCCTTTATGGCTGTGAAACCTGGCCATTGAGAGCGGAAGACATGAAAAGATTAGCTGTCTTTGATCATAGGTGTCTGCGTTCTATCTCCCGCGTGAAGTGGTGTAATAATGTGAGGAATATTGAGGTTAGGCGTCGAGTTCTAAGTAAGGAGGGGAAATGAGTCGACGAGACTGTGAAATTACATCGACTGAGATGGTTAGGCCATGTGTTACGTATGCCTAGCCATCAATTGCCTTCCTCGACGGGCAATGTTAGCTGATATAGGGTCAGGCTGGAGAAGAGTTAGCGGCGATCAAACCAAAACATGGCACCAGTCAATGAAATCTACAACAGTTAGTCTAAGCCACGTAGGAAGATGTAGACTTCCTGGTTGGGGTCCTCGGGATGGTAAAAACCAATGGTTGGAAACAACTGGTGGCATGGCTCAAAATCGTTCTCAATTACTGGCGCAGATGCATTCACTCCTTGTGACTCATGATTTCCAATGAAACTGTTTTGTTCTTCGTTATTACTATACCTTTGTCTCACACATCTGTTTACTGTCTATATTATGCATTTCTCCTACTTTCTTCCTTTGCTTTGTGTGCTAAATGGAGTGTGGCGACTTGAACTGCCGCACATATGTGCAAATTTCTGTGTCGAAAACAGACAGACAGGAGGATTTAAAACAAATTTGTTCATTCCATTATGCACTTGTTTTACTTTCCTGAACTTGAACTTCGATTGAAATAATATCCCGTGATAAATGAGTAAGCTCTGGGGTCGCTTACCTGACTGACTGAGTTTCAGCAAAGGAATCTATGCACAGAAGTACAGCAGTTCAAGTCCCTACACTACGTGTAGCACATAAAAGTAGACAAAACAAAGAAGAAGGAGATTCAGAAGAACTGTGATGTGCAGAAGTGGACTGGAGAAAGAATAGTGACATAGAGAAACATTAGAGATGAATGAATCTGGGAGATTAAAAGAAGTGAATGCATCTGAGCCACTGGTCGTTTGTATCATCTGATCCCCAACAAAGGTGGCTACACCTACTTGATATTAGAATCTCTGGGAAAGATTATCATCTTTGTATAGCATAGAAATAACAAGGTAATGGAAAATGTTTGTAGTCCTTAAAGAGTCGGTTGACAAGATTACTAAGAAAAACATTTTTTTGCTACCACTCTACGTATAGCCTACTCTAGCCCCATTCCCTGGTGCACCTTAATGCTAAGGAAATGCTACCTCAATTGTCTAATCCCATGTGTATTTTTTGTATGTTCACCTGCTCTTGTGGAGGTAGATACTATGGAATTATACTCTACCTGAGTGCCCAAGTTCGATTCCTGAAGCACTGTGAAGTTGGATACTTTTATCTGTTAATAATTGTGAGGATAATTGTTATATCTACTTTATTTCCTAAATCGATCGTATATGTCGAGTAGTTATACTAACCCTGTATGCACATAAGTTTATGTAAATTAAGTATCAAATAATTTAAAGCTCATAATCGTCGTTTTACGTATACTTATCAATTGCTTGAAAATACGAATTAAGCTGAGTTGCATTGCTAAGGCGATTCCGTTTCTTGAATCTTAGCGTATAATCATCTTCCCGATTCTTTTGTTTCAGAATTATTACTTTCTACCTAAAAAGGTTCTGGCATTTCATAATGAGTTGACGTCGGTTAGAGAACCATTGGAGAACCTGAGAGTACTGGGTAGCTGTTTCGTCCTGGTTTGAGGCTCTTCATCAGTACTCACCCACCGGGGTTCGAACCCAGGACCTTCCGGTCCTGTAACCAATCGAATCAAATCCCCCAAACCAACACTTGAATAAAAAGATTTCATTAACATTATTGACTATAACTTCCCAATTATCAGTGTGAGGTATATTCAAAGAATGTACATAGAATTATTGATCACCTTTATTTAAGAGTTATAGGAAATAGATTATATCATTACTGATGGCGCTATAAAAAGTGAAATGTTGGAAGCCATAATTCCTAACATTGGGATATTGAATAATCAGGAGAGGGAGTGGTTGATAAGCCGGCCAAACCTGCATTCTCCAGCTCAACTGAATACAATAGCACCGAAAATTCTCCATCAAAGTTACAAATCTCCATTATTTTAACACCACTTTCTATAGAATGTTATGCTCACGAAGATCCTATTATTCTGAATAGAAAAATCTTCATTTTCTGAACATGTTAGTGATCATATATTCTAATATTTAATAAATATATATATATATATTGCGCTTACTTCTTCGATTTTTCTTTATTTTGCTTCCAATCATAAGCCTGAGAATGACAAAACTGCTAGTCCCTCATCTGTTGTAGAACACAGAACAACAACAGATCGGCTTGATTCCTTATCATCGCCAAATAACACTCCCAGTCAAAAGGATAATTCTCTTGAACAGATAACTGATGAAATTACAACAAATAAGCTCGAGTGTTCCGAACGCGATGCTCTTCTGTTAAAAATCGATCGTCTTCAGCATATTCAAGTTAGGCTAACTGACAAACTTGAATTCTTTCAAGAACATTGTTATCAACTTACAGAAGAATTGAATAAAAAGAGTAAAATTATCCAGGTACCTGAAAGTATTTCTTTATTCATTTTTGTTGTGTTTCAGTTTTTGTCATTATTGATTATAGACGGCAACTGCTAATTTGCTGCGTCGGTGGTACAGCGTGAGAATCCCTACTAGTGCTTTGGGGTTCGATACCCGACTGACACACTCCTTTATCTCTCTAGGTCAGTAATAAAACTGGTAAAGAAAGAAGGTTGGACATGACAATAGCAACTCAACTCCTCAAAAATACATACCACTGCTACCGAAACTTCAAAGCCCAAGAAGCTTGAAGCCCTATGTTCCACTGGGAACGTAAAGGAATAAAATTGAAAACTGAAATTACTTAATTGTTAATCTGCTAGTCATAATGTTTCTTTTAAGTGTCACTAAGTGCATCATAGTCATATAACACTGATAGGATTTCTACAGTCAACTGTATCAAACGTTATTACAATATTGATTGATGCATGATACATTTTCTCACTTGTTGCTCATTTCTGAAAATAAAGAAGACACAGTTGTGTGTGCATAGGAAAACGGAATATCGCATGTTTCACCTCTGATTTGGAAAGAAATATACAAGGGGACTAACTAGTTAGAGTAAATAAGTTAACAAATAATTTACAGGATGACCTACCATTGGAATATAAATAATAACTTTTGTGAACACTGAGCTGTAGTAGCATGTTGTTCATATATTTCCTTATTCTAAAAAAGAACATGATTCCTATTTATCTGACACACAATAGTAATGAACTTGTCGAAAGTGTAATATTGCGCAACTGATGTGTTTGATTTTCGTAGATCTTTGGAGCCTATCATTGATATGTTACGTAAATAACTTGCATAATAAGGCTGATAAAGAGGGAAGGTTGGAAATGAGGCTAGCGACCGCATCTCGTAAAAAAATAAACATCACTGCTACCGAAACTTCAAAGCCCAAGAGGCTTGAAGCCCTATGTTCCACTGGGAACGTTAAGGAATAAAATAGAAAGGTGAATGAGTTGTAATTTATAGAGCTTCTCTGATCATGTACACCTCAGCTTTGGAGTAAGCTTTGTATATGTTCTTAGAACAACATTATAGAATGGCTTACATTTATACGTTTCACCTTTTTGATAAGGAAAAACACCAGTTTGAATTAATGTAGCTAACTGATAACCTGCAGTGACAAGGTGAAAATATCAAAAAAAATTGTTATTGGCATATGAATAAACATTTCAAAAGGTATTTTACCAAAATTATAATGCAGTTAGAAAATGTCGAAAATTCCATAAATGAATGTGATGAAATTTAATCGCCTATTGATGTATCAGTACACACAAACGCCTTGTTATATTCATATATTTCCTTATTCTGAAGAACATCATTCCTATTTATCTGACACAAAATAGTAATGAACTTGTTAACAGTGATATATTGAGCAAGTGATGTGTTTGATTTTCGTAAATCATTGGAACCCATCAACTGATATGTTAAGTAAAATGACTTGCATATTAAAAATGCTCACTCAATGATATTGCTGGTCCTAATTGCGACTATCCTTATACCTTATCTAGTCAATTTATTTTCAAGCCTTTCGCTTGTAATTACTCAGGTAGACTCATACAGCGTTGTGTTACCAACTAACAGTAATTAGTATTGTTATCCTCATCGATAGTTAATTAACTTTTTCGTAATTCCTCCTGTATTTTTTTGTAATTTAGGCCTTGCTTGATTAAGTCATTTTGTCACAGCTTTGTTTCCTGTTTTTTTTTTTCGTTTTCATATGCATATCGGCTTCCTCCAATTATTAACAGGCGTTTAAGATTTTTAAATTCTTTTTATTAAGAAATGTCGGCATTAGATTTACATTTTACAGTAATAACGACACTGTTGATATGACTTTCGTTAGTTGATATTTACCATTAACTATAGTAAAGAACTCCGACCAGAACAAGCTGGACTCATGAAAGACAAATCATGTTCTGACCAAATTGCAACTCTACGCATCATGATCGAACAAAGCATGGAATGGCAATCAAACCTCTACCTCAACTTTATAGACTTTGAGAAGGCCTCCACAGCGTTGACCGCGAAGTAATTTGGAAACTACTTTAGTACTACGGCGTACCCCAAATATTCATCAACCTTATTCAACAACTGTACGACAACGGCACATGTCAAGTGATCCACAACGGAAAACTCAACGAGGCGTTTGGAGTAAACACAGGAGTCAGACAAGGGTGCTTATTATCACCAATGATATTGCTAAATGTGGTGGACTGGACTGGATTATGCGTCAGACAGTGGGAAACGAGAAGACAGGGATATCCTGGACCGACGTGAAGAACCCAGAAGACCTAGATTTCGCGGATGAATTATGTTTGATGTCACACAAAATCGAAGACTTACAAGCGAAAACCGACAAACTGGTCGAAGAAGCCGCAAAGACAGGACTCCAGGTGAACATAGACAGGACGGAGGTTATAAAAATAACCAACCAACCAACAACAACAACAGCAGCAACATACAGCGCCAATCACCATCAACGGGAGGGATTTGAAAGAGGTTACTTCTTTCACTTATCTAGGGAGCATTGCCTCAACTACAGGAGGAACAGACGAGGATGTCAAATCGACAACTCAAGAAGGCGAGAAACACATTCATCAACCTGAACCCAATCTGGAAATCTTCTTCACTCAGCATCAACAACAAAATTTGGATTTTCAATACAAACGTCAAGTCAGTCAGTTCTTCTATACGGATCAGAAACTTGTCGGGTCACAAAGAATATTTCCAACAGCCTATTGCAGACCTTTATCAACAACTGTCTTCGCTGGCTCTATACTCAAGATCAGATGGCCGGAAAGAACAAGAGCCAACAAGAAACTACGGGAACGAACAAAACAAGAACCAATCGTCCAACAAATATGCAGGAGAAAGTGGAGATGGATTGGACACTCGCTGGGGAGGCCGCTGGGTGACATCGCGCGTCAGGCCATAGCTCGAGTGGAACCCGAAAGGGAAGCGGCGAGTGGGACGTCCAAGGGTGACATGGAGGAGATCGTGTGAAGAGGAGTTGAAACAATATGGACTAACATGGATGCAGGTGAAAAGTACAGCAGAAGACAGAAGTGAGTGGAGACGTGCAGCTGAAGCCCCATGTTCCACTCGGAACCCAAGGGAACACTAATAATAATAATAACAATAACAGTGAAGGCATAGTACATATAGCTTACTATGTTATGCATATCATATACTGTTAAATCAACAAATGTGCACAGTCAGCAAGCACGTTACGGCGTAAAGGCACGACATTAGTCAGTGTATCTATTATAATCCTACTGAGTGGTATGGGTTCGAATTTCAGATGAGACCTCAGTTACTACTTCAAGCCTGTAGATACGCCTCGTGCTAAAAAGTTCAGAACTTCCTGGTGATTGCCTCTAACTGTCTGACGTCATAAAACCTCAACAGATTTGATTCTAGCCTTTTGAAAAGTCTGTATAAAGGAGACACATTGCTAATCTATTTGAAGGTAGTATTAAAACAATCTATTTCAATGCTATTTTGATTCACATCGACTGATGATGGTAACAATGAAATGTTTGGAAAGAAGAACAATAATAGTATCTTACTCTCTATATTTTCTTCTTGTCATTTCTAGAATCTTCTAGTTACCAGTGACAAACGATGTGGTGATAATAATAAGCAGGGCAGAAAAGTGAAAACTTCCAATCATAAACACAATTCAATCATATCTTCTTTTACTGGGAGTATTAAAACAACGAGAACTACTGACACTGAAATTTGTCACCAGGAGATTGAAGAAAAACTTCAAACTTTACTCGAGAATACAATGTTCAAAAATATTACATTAAAGGTAAAAGTAAAATATATATTCAGTATCTCCCTAATATTCTGCGTTTGCCTCTACGGGCATTAGAATTTTCTATGTTCAATTTATAAGTTACGAAAATCACTGAATAATAAATTGTTACTGTGGTAAAGTAGTCAATAATTATGATGCAATGTACAGCATGACAAATGTGGCAGTGCAGAGATTTTTAAACGTGCAAAAAAAGAATTGAGTATCCAGTGATTTCACTGTGCTGAGTCTATAACAATATTGATCAGTAGTCATACATTTCATAAATCATGTAGGTGTTTGTCACATGTTCAGATGGCAAAACATCCTGAACCTAGCGCTGATTCCAGAAGACTAATCGGTGCCTTAGAATACTGAGTGTGGTAACTGATACTAGAATGCCAGAAAATGGATTGGCAGTCTGAGGATTGCTTATTTCTTCACCGACAACGAACCAGAACCAGTCGATTAATAAACGTCAATATAAATGATAATAATACTTCTGATTGTTTTTCTCCAGTCTTCTGCAAACCAGCGTACGATTAGGCAATGGTTGCCAATGTTGTTTCCCGCCAAATGGAGATCAGTTTGAATAAACAAACTATATGTTGCTCATTCAATGTTCATCAACATTAACAATGTTTCCAGTCTGCATGTAATCCATAAAAGTTTAAAAGCTGTGAAACTGCTAGATAATGTTGATAACTCTTTAGAAATAGGGTTCTCTGACATTACAGTTAATATACGAGGAATTAAATCATTTGTGCATTTTCACCTCGCCTAGTTTACTAGATGATTCTAAACCCGAAAAAATAAGGTAGATTAAACGTGGCGCTAGTCACCTTATCCCGTTGAAAGCAACCCCATCACCACTGAATTGTTAGAGTGAGTATGCGCCTAGTATATTTATGGTGTGTAGTCTAAGTTTCACACTACTTTTAGGTATGGAGAAGTACTGAATTGTACTTTATCCATTTCAGTTATTACCAACGTTGTTGTTATTGTTTTGTATCAAGTGAATTATTTCACTGGGACAATTTCTAGGCCAGTAGCATGATCCGGTTGATAAAGAATATTTGATCTGCAGCGTTTCACTGCTGATAGTCCAGTTCTAACAAATTTATGAGGTAATCTTGATTTTATAATTGCATACAATAAATGGTGACAAAAGTTCGTCAGCAGAAAATCATCTGAAACTGTATACAAATATACAGTTTTATATTACGTAATGGTTTGTTTTCGCCCATACAGTAATTCTTCATAGCAAGACATGACATCAAAGTATTGCTTCTCTTACTGTCCCCATAAATGATCTGGTACGTCTGAGGATGGGTAGACTTGCATTATGCTCTCGAAATGCTCTTCTGTGACTACACGTTCATAACCTTTGATAGGCGAGTCTTATTCATTGCCTAGGATGTCCTTCAAAATAGTGAAAGAGCGAATGCAAATGTGTGATGCTTACAACCGGACTGGTTTAAATACTGGTCTACGTAGGGGATCCGGAAGACCCTGATCCGAAACTTATGGTGTATGTGGGCCCCAGGATCCAAAAGCACCGAATGACTTATGATGAACCTGCTTTTGTCTCCGGTAACTACTGGAGTGTAGCTCCTGACACTGCTCTTCTCTTTGCCTTGTGGATGAGACTTCAAGTTGAAGGCTCGGTGGGTGGCTTCTTAAGACAACCATATGTTTTGGTCTAGGCGTCCAGGCAGTATCCGAGCCCTCGTACAAACTATGAGACTTTGTATGACTCGTCTTTTGGTTCACATAATGTTCGAAGTTTGTGTTTTAATAATAAATAATAATATTACATCACTTTCAAGGCCTTTTAAAATTTACTAAATGACTATAGTGAATTTATTATTATTATTTCCTTTAATTCCTAGAGGAACATAGGGCTTCAGCCATGCGTCTCCATTGCGTTCGGTTCTCTGCTGTAGTTTTCACCTGGCTCCAAGTCTGCCCACACGCTTTCAATTCCTCTTCACATGATCTCCTCCAGGTCACCCTTGGACGACCAACTCGTCGCTTCCCTTTCGGGTTCCACTCGAGGGCTTGTCTAGTGATGTCACTTGCTGGTTTCCTCAGAGTGTGTCCAATCCATCTCCATTTCTTCCCGCCTATTTGTTTCACGATCGGTTCCTGGTTGGTTCGCTCCCAGAGATCTTTGTTGCTGATCCTCTCCGGCCATTTGATCTTGAGTATTGAGCGAAGGCATTTGTTAATGAAGGTCTGTAGCTTGTTTGAGCTGCTCTTTGCGACACGCCAAGTCTCTGATCCGTATAGTAGTACTGACTTCACATTGGAGTTGAAAATACGGATCTTATTTTTGACGCTGAATGCTGCTGACCTCCACACAGACTTGAGAGTAGTGAAAGCTTGTCTTGCTTTTCCGATTCTTGCTTTGATATCCTCGTCAGTTCCGCCTGTAGCTGAAACGATGCTTCTCAGTTAGGTAGGTAAAGGAGGTTGTTTCTTTCAGGTTCCTCCCATTTATGCTGATCGTTGTCTGTTGTTGTTGCTGTTGGTGGTGTTTCCCAGGAATCTTCATCACCTCTGTTTTGTCTATGTTCACTTGAAGTCCTATCTTTGCTGCTTCTTCTGCCAATTTGTTGCTTTTCACTTGCATATCTTCCAGTTTGTGGGAAATCAGACATATATCATCGGCGAAATCCAAATCCTCCAAGGCTTTTGTGACGGTCCATTTTATGCCTGTTCCCTCGTTGGTTGCCGTTGTCTGCCGCATTATCCAATCAACTGCAATCAGGAAGATCATTGGTGACAGTAGACAGCCTTGTCTCACTCCCGTCCTCACTTCGAAGGATTCCGTGAGCCTCCCGTTGTGGATTACTTGGCATGCAGCGTTGTCATACAGCTGTTGGATGAGATGTATAATTGTCGGCGGCACCCCGTAGTAGCGAAGTAGTTGCCAAATCACATCTCGATCGACGCTGTCGAAGGCTTTCTCAAAATCGATGAAGTTGAGATAGAGAGGTGACTGCCATTCCAAACTTTGTTCAATGATAATCCGTAGGGTGGCGATTTGGTCAATGCATGACTTGTTCCTCCTGAATCCGGCCTGTTCCGGACGAAGTTTTTCATCTAGGGCTTGTTTAATTCTCTCCAGGATGATGCGACATAGTATCTTGCTTGGAATGGACAGAAGCATTATTCCACGCCAGTTTTTACATTGACTCAAATCTCCTTTCTTTGGCAGTTTGAATAAGTATCCGTTCTTCCAATCCTCGGGTACTTTGCCCTCTTTCCACACCTTCTCTAGTAGTGGCGTCATCAAGTCCGCTGTTGTCTCTGGGTCTATTTTCAAAGCTTCTGCTGGGATTCCATCTGGTCCTACTGCTTTCCCAGCTTTTAGCATCTTGATGGCATTCAGGACTTCGGATTTCGTCGGAGGGTCGATGTTCATTGGTAGTTCTGCTTCCGTTGTTGGTATTGTTGGACGCGTTGTAGGTGGCGGACGATTTAGAAGTCTTATGAAGTGTTCAGCCCAGTGCTTCCTCTGCTCCACCTCTTTGGTGATTGACTTTCCATTGTTGTCCTTTATTGGCTTAATCTGTGTCGAACTTTTGCCCGAAAGGTGCCTAGTTGTTTGGTGTAGTGTAGCGAGGTCTCCTTTGCCTGCAGCTTGTTCTGCTTCGTTTGCCATGGTTTCACAATATTTTCTTTTGTCTTCCCTGGCACTTTTCTTCACTCTTTTGTTCAGTGCATTGTAGCTTGCATTCAACTCCTGTTTCTGTTGCTCGTCGGTGCACTGGATAATCTTTTGTTTCGCCACCCTTCTCTCTTCTATTAGTTTCCAAGTGTCCGTAGAGAGCCACTGTTTGTCCTGTCTCTTTTTTCTGCCTAGGACTTCCATGCAGGTTTGACTCCACACCGTTTTCAATTTGTTCCAGTGCTTTTCGACGCTGACCTTTTCGTTGGTGTTGATTTGTGTCTCGGCTTTTTCCCTTATGTTTGCAATGAAGATGTCCTTTGTAGCCTGGTCCTTCAGCTTTTGAGTGTTGAACTTGGCTTGTGGTCTATCTGCAGCTGCTGATTCTCTGAAAGCTTTTAATTTGATTTGGATTGTCCCTTGTACGAGGTAGTGGTCTGAGCCAATGTCTGCTCCTCTTCTTGCTCTTGTGTCCAGTAGGCTGCGTCTCCACTTCCTCGATATTGTGATAAAGTCAATTTGGTTTTTGGTTCGCCCGTCTGGTGACACCCATGTAGCCTTGTGGATATCTCTGTGCTTGTAAACACTGCCACCAATCACTAGTTCGTTGAAGGCGCAGAAGTCGGCGAAGAGTTCTCCGTTTTCATTCATTTCTCCAAGAGCTTCTCTACCCATGATGAGTTCTCTTCCTGTATTGTCTGGTCCCAGTTTGGCGTTCATGTCTCCCATTAGTATTTTAATGTCGCCAGCTGGAGTATTGTCTATTGCTGCCTGTGAATTATCACCTGAGAATTGATTTAACATGGCCTACATACATGGAGAACAGTTTCTTCATTAGAATTTTGAAACTGTCAGTGCTAGGTATTTTTCTTCCTATTTTCACCATTTGTTTCCACCTGCTTAATGACCTTAATATCTGTATAGAAAATATCCCCCTTTAGACATTAGGAAAACAGAAAGATTGAGCGAAGAAATATTTACTTTTCAATTAGATCCTCATCTCTGGCTCTACTCTAATATATATAGCATTTTTTACAATACACAACAATTTACCAAACAAGTGGTGATATGTTTGTTAACAATAATTAAAGTGTCAAAATGTCAATGGGTTGATAATTAACGAAGAAAATCAATACAAATTTAAAAGGTAGAAATGGATAGAATAAATTAATTTTACAAGGATAACACGTAATTAAAGATGAAGTGGTCAAAATAAAAATAAAATAATTTGGACAATTATAATTTAATAGGTTTAGGGGGAGGGGGGCGACGTAGTCCTGTTTTGTAACGATGGCCACGGTAAGGAAAGTGGCTGTACAAATTTCTTCTGTACACATAGGCTTGGTTTCTTCTGGTGGATTCCGATTGCTTCAGCTGTCTGTAGAAGACGAACTCGTAGAGCAAAGTTAAGATTAGTCGGAATGCGATAAATAATTTTAAATGCAGTATTCACATCAACCTTATGCTCAGTATCAACAAGGTGTGCTAAAATAGAACTACGAATAGATCTTGTTTGTCCCTTGCTTAACCACGCTGGATGATGTTCAGAAATACGACGATGAAACTGCCTAATTGTACGCCCAATGTAGCTGGCTCCGCAGCTGCAGTCAAACTGGTAGACACACATAGAAGAGGCAAAATTAGGTAGTTTATCCTTATTTCTCGAACATAGAATAGAGGTGGTTTTGAAGAGACAACGTACCTCTGCTGCATAATAAGCTCTTTTAACTGCATTCTTCAAGCGCTGTGTTATGATTTCGCTGATGCTGTCACCGAGGAACTGCAATTTTATGAAGATTGGTTTTTTCGAAACTGTAGCAATACTGACTCTCCTTGGTGCTGAATTCATTCTTCTCAATAAATTTATCTGGATAACCATTTTTTCTAAGTAATTCTTTAATAATCTTAAGCTCCTCATTGAGGCAGTCGTCTGAACAGATTAACTTAGCTCTATGAACCAGACACTTTACCAGGTTACGTTTATATTTCAAAGGTACAAAACTCAAAAAATGAGTGTACTGACCTGTTGTTGTAGGTTTCCTATACACACTCCTTCTTAGTTTGCCGTCTTCTTTCCTTGCCATGAAGACGTCTAGGAATGAGATACTGTCATTACTTTCTTTCTCTATGGTAAAGTTTATTGCTGAATGTGCATCATTAAACTTGTCAAGGATATTCATTGCATCATTCTCGTCTTTCATAACCACAAACGTGTCATCTATATATCGACAGTAGAAATCCATGTCATTAATTACTCCTTTCAGTGGTCCATTCTCTAATTTAGCGAGGAAAAAATCAGCTAGGATTGGACCTAATGGGGAACCCATAGCTACACCATCAATTTGCCTGTAATATTCCTTATTGAATAAGAAATGAACATTCATTGTACATCTTAAAATAAGTTCCTTCAAGGTGGATATAGCAATCCCGATGTCTATGTTTCGTGTAGTAATCTCCTCACATATAAAATCCACTGTCTCCATTAACGGTACATTGGTGAACAAGGAGGATACATCAAAAGATATCAGTTTTGAATTCGTTGAAAAAATAAGAGATCTTAATGTGAGGGACAAGTTTATGATATCTTGATATTTTGACATTTTAATTGTTGTTAAAAAACATATCACCACTTGTTTGGTAAATTGTTGTGTATTGTCAAAAATGCTATATATATTAGAGTATAGCCAGAGATGAGGATCTAATTGAAAAGTAAATATTTCTTCGCTTAATATCTGTCTCCCATGGTTTGGATTTTCTTCCATGTCTTTTCCGGAGGTTTAAAAACTCGGAGTATACTCATTCATAATGAAATCTGTGTTGTTAATATTTATCCGTCTATTCTTCAGGGTGTTCAGAAGAAAACAAGCTAAATCGTGTCAAATTGTGATAGTAACACGGATAATACGAGCTCGTTTCGTCTCATGGATTCTCTTCAACTGCGTACATCCTAAACATAATCGAATTGATAATTAAAAAGATTCTTAACATACTTTCTTACAGTGACTTCGAGTTATCGAACAATAGAGTGAATTTATACATATTATAATAGAGAGTTCAAGATAGTGGGAGTGAGAATAGTAAAGTAAAATTATAAGATAGACAACACCCTTAAGTAGATTTGGAAACTTAATAGGGAGTTCAATTCAGTGAAACTCAAAATTACTTAACTATTCACTCTCACCCTCCTGAACTCTCCATTACAATATGTAAAAATTCACTCGATTCTTCTGTCTTGTATTTTGTCTCTCATCTATGCTTGTTTCCAAGCGAAATCTACTTCCCTTATCTATCTACCTACTTATACTAAGAATAGTTACTCTTTTAACACTGAATAATTCGTCTACTTCATTTTTGGACTTATATCACATAGTTTCTATCGATTTATAGATTATAACTCGAAGTCTGCCTCTGTCTGTCTGGATTCAACATAGAACTTAGCACCGAAGTGCAGCAGTTCGAGTTGCCACGTTCCAAATAGCACACAAAGGTAGACAAGAAGATGAGTGAAGAGAATCAATAGAGTTTTGACAAGTATAAGAGTGAAACAGAATGAGTAATGGTAGAAAGGAATATGAAAGATTACAGAGACTGAATACATCTGCGTAAGCCATTGACAATGATTTTGAGCCATGTCACCTATTGTCTTCAGCCATTGATTCTTAGAATCCCGAGGGCGGGCCCCAACCCGGAAGTCTGCATCTCCCTACCTGACTCAGTTTAACTGTCAAGGATTTCATAGATTGATGCCATGTTTTTGTTTGGCCACCACTTACTCTTTTCCAACCTGCACCTATATCAGCTAGTAGTGCCCGTCGGGGGAGACGATGGTTAGGCATGCGCAGCACGTGACTTAACCATCTCAATCTATGTAACTTCATAGCCTCTTCGATTGATTTTCCCTCTTTGCCCAACACTCTACGCCTAACGTCAACATTACTTACCTTATTATACCACCTAACGCGAGAAAGAGATCGTAAACATCTGTGGTCAAAAACAGACAATCTCTTCATGTCTTTCGCTCTCAATGGCCACGTCTCACCGCCATAGAGAAGGACGGAGCGAACTGATGAGCAGAGATGGTGTAAGTTAGCGAAAGCGGTCCGGGCTTTCTGGATCCGTGATGTGATTTCGTCACCAATCAATCCGTTGGTGCTGATACAACTTCCCAAATAGGTGAAGTGGTCAACATGTTCTATCACTTCACTCCCTATCACTAAGCTAGGAGTTGAGGTAGTCCAGTCCTGTAGCAGCATCTTACATTTTACAGGGGCGAATCGCATGCCAAACATACGAAGATTGCTGCTCAAGGTGTTCAGAAGACTCTGCATTTGGTCAGCAACCTCCCCTAACAGGACTATGTTATCTGCATATTCTGAGTCCATAAGACTATTCCCTGGTAACAAGTCGATTCCCACGTCGTTAAGTTTAGTTAAAGATACTTTCATTAGCATATCCAATCGTATTCCAAGCCAATAAAAACGATCAATAGAGATGTAAATTAACAACCAATCATGACAAAGGAGGTTGTCAAGAGATACAGTTATATTATTCATGGAGAATTCAAATAAGTTGATTTCATACTAGAACTTGAACTGAACATGTTGTCTAGTAGGATAACGAAAGCATCGCAATTAAATCAACCAGCTCAGAGAACACAACTAAGTAAAAATGTTCATTCTTTCTTTATTCAAACTAATAAAGGAAACCGGTTGTATTAAACATTTTATATATATATTCTTCTCATCGTTGTTGTCTTTTGTTTAAAATTCACTACATTTTTGTTTTGTTACTCTTTATATATATGGATGTAACTAAGAGATGGTATATCAACTCGAACTGATACACTTTTGTACAAGATTGTCTACTATCTCTCTCTGTTTCTAGTACATAGTTTAACTTGAAAACACCTAATTCTGTTTCCTCCACTGCACTGCTACAATTCTCTTGTATGCTGGTGGCATCTTACAAGTCATACTGCAAGGCAAAATTGTATACAGCAATTTAAGTCAGTGTTACGTCCCGAATCGGGATCATGAGAAAAACAATAACAAAGCATCTTTACCTTGAGGAACTCACCAACCAATCACAGCAGACTTAACATGTGCAAATGCGACTCGCAGATATGTGGCTTAACTTTCTGAGAAACCATCACCAGCAGTACAGAATAACCTTCAGCAAGAAAACAACCAATCAGAAGACGTTGCTTCTCCGCTGACAACAATGTACATAGAAATCTATAAATATCTATCTCTTGATTTCCTCAATAAACGATCTGTTGCCTGGCCCTTGTCTTCTGTTGTTACAATACTTCTTTATAAAAATCAACGTAGATTACTGATGAGCCTAATTGTAAGCATTCTTCTTATTCTCCTCTATTTTATCACATAACTGCTTCAAATTGAAGGAGCTGTCAATAAGTTAGTTGATAGTTAACTGACATATGGGGATTTTAATTTATTGTATAGAGTGATGGACAGCTGTTCCACACGCATAGTTAGCCTACGCGTACACAAATCTTATAGCTGATTATCGAGTTTATTACAACACTGTTCCGTATGTGTATGTGTTACATGCATGCAATAAACGAATTCAGTCAATGACTCTATGAAATGACTTTTTCTATTTCCTATTTTTATGATGATATCAGTTCAAGTAATACCTTATAATATTATATTTCTATTAATTTTCCACTACCTTATAACATGAGTTTGTTTGTTTTTATGTTTATTTATTTTTAATTTTAAGGAGAATCTGCATACTTTAGGATCAGAAATATCAAGTCTACGCTTAAATCATGAACGTGTATTGAATTCACTTTGTCAACAGTGTAAATTAGCCAATCAAAGTATGCATAAAACACCAACAAAATTAAATCAAACACATCTGTCAAATAATAATAATAGTAGTAGTAGTTATTCAACAAAAATAAAATCCGAACCTCCAATATTTCAAAATGGTGGTATGAGTGCATAAATGGTATCTATCACAGTTACATATCTGTTGCCTGCATTTAAACACTCTCTCATGGATGGTATTCACATAGGTAAGCATGACAACACAAAGAATACAAAGGAATGTTTAACGCTGCTTTCCCGTATTCAAAATGAAGTCCATTGTAATACTGTCGATTGAAAAAAAAACTCATTAATGTACTCCTCATTTCGTTTAGTTTTATTGTTATTGGCCGAATTGCTTTTATCCCTCCCCACCTTTTTTCCCCATGTTATCTGTGATCATTGTGGTTATATATCATGCAAGTTGTTTTAACAATTGTTTTTTTTTAAATTTGTGTATTTTATCAAATTTTATTTTATTAGTTTATTTTTGTTTTTCTCTTTGCATTTCTCTGGAATTGTTTCCAACAGTTTGGTCTGTTATGTGTTGAATATGTTGAATACTGACTGACTGATTGACCTGACCTGAGTTATTGTGTTTCAGTGTTTGTTATACATTGTCTTTGTGCGTGTGTGTGTGTTTTTGTCCAAAGTTAGTGTTTCCATTCATTGGGTAACATTCATTTATCAGCAAATCATTCCTTCTTAGTTTTCAAGTAATGTGACTTTTATTTCTACATGTCTGCGTCTCTTAGAATTGAAGCGCTGCATTCTTGTGTCTTTCTACAGTTACTCAGCTGTATTATTGTCATTTTTAGCCTGTATTTTATTTAACTGATTACAAATTATTTCTGAAAAGATTTTCCTGTCCTGAAAAATATTTTTCTCGTATCTTCAAAAAAAAGAAAATATACATTCCACCTTTTATTGTTTTGAAAAGCAGTGATTTTACTTTCGCTAGAAGGAGAATTGTTCTCAGAATGCGATTTAACCGAGTTGAGGCGATGAATTAGTCGAACAATATTATTTAGTTAGCTCTATCCGTCAAATGTTTGATCCAGATATTCTCTGGATATATTTTTCAAACGTAGACTGTCAGAATGTCCACATAAATGATCTGGTACGGCTAAGGGTGGGTAGACTTGCATCATCCTCTCGAATTGCTCTCATGTGACCATGTGTTCACAGGCTTTGCTAGGTGAGTTTTATTCATCGCCTTCACGTGGCTAGGGTGTCTCTCAAAAAAGTGAAAGAGCGAATGCAAATGTGTGACGCTGAAAACTGGACTGGTGGACATGGTGGTTTACCTGGGGGATCCAGAAGACCCTGATCCGAAACCTATGGTGTATGTGGGCCCCAGGATCCAAAAGCACCGAATGGTCACCGGTAACTACGGGAATGTAGCTCTTCTCTCTGTCTTGTGGATGAAACTTCAAGTCGAAGGATCGGTGTGTGGCTCCTTAAAACAACCATATGTTTTGGTGTAGGCGTCCAGGCAGTATCCGAGCCCTCGTACAAGCTATGATATTTTGTATGGCTCGTCTTTTAGTTTCCATAGTTTTCGAAGTTTGTGTTTCAATAAATTTATAATAGATAGGCAGGATGTATGCGCTATTCAATAAAAACTAAAATTCTGTAATCCATTGAAGTACTTTGGTTAGGTTTCTGAGATTGCAGCTTACATTTTGCATCTCTTGAAGTTTCTTTGTTCAACCAGAATTTTCTAAATTTAATGATTCAGATAACCTGATAAGCACTGAAATAATTATCACCACCAATTGCTTTATGCCTATTCTTCAATTTGTTCCAACTGGAAGAGGTATGTAAGTCATAGTGGCATCATGTATAATTTGCTAGTGTTTACTTAAGTCAGAAAATTCTTCACGTTTAGTCGAGATAATTTATCGAACGATTTAATTTTTTGATTTATTCATTTCACTGGTGTAGTAGTCACCATATTAATGAAGCAGGAGTGCTGATATCCTTTCATAAAATGTGGTAGCTAGAGCTAGAATGACAACTCATTCTCTTTGCTTCAGACTGTCGTGGTTTCTGGATTTAGGTGGAGAAAATAGGACTGCCAACTACTAGATCTTTTGTTTGACTAGCACATTAATCTGTTTAAACGCTGAACATAATCTTATCCATCTTCATATTCACATACATTAACTTGATATTAGGATAAACCACTAAGAGATTGTCGAATTTAATTCTTGGAAGTATCAGTATGCAAATATTTTTTTAGAGTAAGTTAGGTTTAAAACGTGACATCGAATGTCTAAAATTCTCACTGGTATGCCTTTTATGTTAGATAAAGAATGGTCGATCAATAAAACTAATCCGTCTTTCGCTTCAACCATCTTGAATTATCGCATTTGTTGGAGCTAAGTACTATATGTATCCAAAACTGTCTAAGTTTCAGTGAAGATTGGTGGTTTTCGCAAGCCAATGATACTCCATTTAATGGTTATGGTTTCTGAGGGTGTTATTTCGTGCATATGGGTTCAAAACTCAGTGCTTTAGATTACAGTAGAAGTTAATACTGTTCTGTTGGGATGTCAGTGGACAGTTGGTTTATCAATTCATCTCATTTCCTTACTTAATATCACTAGATTTCCTTTTTTCATTCCTATATTGACCACAGGCGAATCTTCTTAGACAGTAGCTAAAAACATGAATGTCTCTTTCAATCAAAATCTTTAGTGAAAAGTTGATTGGTTTAATCGGCAGGAAGATGAATACTTGTGTATAAGATAAATGTAAACTTCCCGTATACTTTTCTAATTCCATACAGTTTGGTGTTGTGCCACACCTATTGTGATACTACCTGGTTGCCTAAGTCTCAGTTGACAGAATGTGGTTTGATGATATCTGAAAGAATACTAAATAACTTTCCTCCTATTTCTAAGTCACAAATCTTCCATAGTATTTCACGCAACCTTCAATTTATGTTTAAAATCGTTCAAAATGCTTCTTTCATACATCAAATGAGATATCACTACTATTTTCCCTCTATTTCAGTAGCATATCACATATATACTAGACATAATATGTGCCAATTAATTACCGTATACATACTGAAGTTATATTAGAGACAGTTCAATAAGATTGAATGTAGCTGTCAAAGTACATTAGGCTATCAGTGATCAACTCTTTTATTAAAGGCGTAAAGTGGTTGAGCCAGCCAACGCTCTTAGATTAATCTAGAGAGATGCTGTTTAATCAGGTATTGGTTTGCACGGGTTTTATTGGTTACAGTGTAACAACAGAAGATAAGGGCCAGGCAACAGATCGTTTATTGAGGAAATCAAGAGATAGATATTTATAGATTTTTATGTACATTGTTGTCAGTGGAGAAGTAACGTCTTCTGATAGGTTGTTTTCTTGTTGAAGGTTATTCTGTACCGCTGGTGATGCTTCTCAGGAAGTTAAGCCACATATCTGCAAGTCATATTTGCACACGTTAAGTCTGATGTGATTGGTTGGTGAGTTCCTCAAGGTAACACTGACGTAAATCGCTATCTACAATTTTGGCTTGCAGCCAGCTTTCACCACAACAGGATTGATCAAGAGCTGACATCAGTTAGAGAACCACTGGAAAACCCGACCCAATGGTCCGTAATTGCTAACTCTTGCCAAATCGGGTTCAAGTGGCTGGGTGGTGTACGACCTCGTATCGTAACCAAAGGGTCCTAGGTTCGAACCCCGGTGGGTGTGTACTGATGAGGAGTTTCGGCTGTTCAGTAATCCTTAGTTTTCCAACCGTTCTGTAACTGAGATACTGTTCTGTCAATGATTTTGTTTGAAGAAAAACTATGTTAGCGCTTTCGTGAATGTTATTTTAATTCCATATAACTACACCTCAATTCATATACAATATCTAACGTCTAAAACGTTGACTGGACTGCAAGGAATAACTTATGTCATACATCTAGTACTTCGTTTGGTGCAGACTAAATTCTGTCAGTCAAGTTCGACTGAGTGGACAGCATGCTAGTTGGCTCACCATCACTGCACGCTTTGAATTGTTGATGTTAAATAGCTGGAAGAAATCGGTAGGATGCCTTAGACCTAGGTGTTGGCGCTTGTTGGCACTTTTCATCGAAGGTGTATCTGCAGTCTTGAAGGAACTCATTTCCCATTCTGAGATTCGAACCAGTGTGACTCAATGCTGTGGCAAGAGACGTTAGCGCTGATCTATTCGGACTCGCGTCTGACCTCCTATAGGACTACAATGGATACATTGATCGGACACTATAGGTAGTAACTAACATCATGCCTAAATCTAGTTCATTGTGAAATGAAACAGTCTGCCTGAAACCATTCATATTGTCATCTAAAGAAAAGAGTTATTGAAAAGGTGGAAGACGAAACAATAAGAAAGAACTAATGTTGGTATCGCTATATAGCCAAATTATGTATACCTTATCTTCAAATCACCATTTGCACAGATCTTCCCTGTTATGATACTTCTCGCCTTCCTTCATATTGTGTTTCTTTGTGTTCCTTTCAATTCTCCCATGTATCTCCACCACGCTGTATGATTTGCCTTCACTAAAGTCAAATGTGTCTCCCTGCTATTTAATGTTTTATGCCGATGAAAATCTATTCATATACTACTGAAAAATTTAACCAGTAGTACTCGCTATACTTGTCCCACCCCCACCATCAAATATTTTCGAATGGAGCCGTTTCGACCTTCTTGGCTTTACCCCTTCCTGTTGTACCTTGGTCCGGGTTTCCTTATTCCACAGGAACCATTTCTGCAGTTGGCTGATGTTAACCCGTTTCTATTTATTTCCTCTTTTGAAGGTATAAACGGGACCACGTGTGTCGACGACAGTGCATGGCCCTCCTCACTTCGGGAGGAGTTTCCGTGATCCTGGTCCACATCTAATGGCGTCCTTTCTTTCTCTACAATTTATGATCACTTTTTCAATTCTCTCCTGATGAAAAAGGACAACTAATGAGCAATTAATCATGTATTTCAGTTGATATAATACAATTAAAATTGTCTTACTGGCAAAGTATGGTACTTCTTCAAGAAAATTAAAATATTTATGAGTCACTCATGAATATATATTTTCCAGTGAAATAGTATTACCATCCATCTATCATACTGTATTGAATCCTTTCTTCGTATTAATAGACACCACTATGAGTTATATATATATATATATTTATATATATATATATATATATATATATATAACTTCCATGTTATTTGTAGGGAATATCATTTCAAACTACTTGTTACTCAGTTGTATTCATTATTCATTTGAGTTGATACCTAATTTAAGAAGACAGAGAATAAATTAAAGTGATTCTCATTATTCCAGTAATTATTAAACTTGTCTGAGCATGAATCTGTCGAAATACAATCACCATGTGATAAGAACGATGTGAAATTATCAAACTCATACAAACAACTGAATGATTCAGCCATCATTTGTTTATTTTTTTTGAAGAGTAAGCAAAATGTCTTTCATCTTTAAAAGGTCAAATTGGCACACAATATTTGTTTGTTTGATTTTTTTCTCTTTTCTGTTTGTCTTGGAAAATTATGACTAATCGAAATAACCTAATTAAAATAAAAGCATGTCAAAATTGACTCTGTGTTACCTGTTATAATAAGCCTGTTGGCTAAGTGATGCGCGGTATACTCATTAAAGAGATGGTGAAAATCATATACCGACAGTTCCACTTCAATCGTCTTCGTGAAAATGAGTTAAGACAACTGTTGATGCTTTGTACAGAGAATGTTTTGAATTCCAGTTTTATTAACTAATAGTGTCGGTGAATCGACGAAGAGTGGCTATAGGCTCACCCTTGCTCCCCGTTCTTATGGGCATGTCAATGGCCTATCTTGAAAGAAAAGTAATTAAAATTTTAAAAAAAGTAGATCAGACCGCATATTACTGTTGG